AGGAGGAGTGACCGGAAGCGGGGGGAGTACGACGACACCTAAAACACACCATCCCCTTGACCCTAACCCTCGGACCAACACCGCCTCGTGGACCGAACGGACCAAAGAGGCACCACTTTCCCGAAACGAAAACCAGCTGAGAGACTAGTCCACAAGCCTAACACGACACTGACTTAAGCGGCCCCACAGAATGACACCAACCCAACCGAGGATAGGACACAACACCAAGAACGCTTGGCCCCTACCACCAACCCCGGCCAACCGACAGTATACCGACACAGGTAGGGCAAGCACGCACAGAGGAATCACCTCGTCCCCCGATTCCCACACCACCAACGACAGCGAAGCCTATCATAGGTACACTATACCCACCACTGACACCACCCCCCCCCCACGGCTCAGCCGAGCCCCCTCCCAAACCCAACGGGATATGAACACGCAACCACCAACGAAGAGGAGGCCAAAGAGCAGGGGACCCAACTACACTCCCCCCTCCTTTCCCACCCGACAGACCCATTGACCTCACAGCCCAGTTTACCCCTACCTGCGGATCCATGACAAATTATAGCCCCACGTCTGCCCGCGCACTCACGTTTTGGGGTCAAAGGCCGATTTTCGGCCAATCAGAGCCAAAATAGGCTTATTTAAACTTCTTATGCCTTTTCATCATTGCCCTGTCGTGATTTCCATAGTGGTTGTCCGAGAGTGTGTTTCTGAGCATTTACTTCTGGTTATTGACTTTGGCTTCGTATTGATTTCCCTGTACTCTGGTATCCCTGTCTTCTGGCTTTCCCTTATCGTTGTGTTTCATTCTGTATCTCCGACCTCGGCTAGTATTCTGACTTTTCTCTGGTACATTTAGTCCGGCCATTCTAACGCCCGGTAAGACGTTACCTTTTAGTGCTAGGTGTGAAACAATTCTATGTGCTGGATCAACTAGCAATCCTGACAGTATTACTGAAGAATGAACAAGGGAAGGGTTTAAACAACCTTCAGTCATGCAATATTGCACATGTAAATATACACTCATCATCCAACTTGACAATATTCATTCATAAACTTCAGTAACAATGATTTATCACCCATCTATATCTGTGGCAGGTCTCTCTGTATCCAGATCCATTTCTTTCATACACTTTTTAATAACTATTTAATCACTCTTTCCTATTCTTAATCTCTTCCCTCACTTCCTTTCACTACTGTTTCCTTTTTTCCATGATATATTCCCCTCTTTTCCATTGCTCTCTCACTCTTGTCACTGTTTTTTTATTCCCTCTTTTATCATGCATCCCGTGGCACTAACCCGTTGATTCATTTAAAGTACCTAACCTGCTTCAGGAACGGAGAATTTTGTCTCTTTTTTTTTTTTTTGTCTTTTTTAGCACAGTGTTTGTTAAAATACACACAAATAATTTTGAAGCAGAATTACCTCATGTAGGTAAACTATCTAACTCGAAATCCGGATGAATTTTTCTATGTAAGGCTCCATAGCTCAGGGGTTAGAGCACTGGTCTTGTAAACCAGGGGTCGCGAGTTCAAATCTCGCTGGGGCCTGCTTCTAATTTTTTTTCTATTTAGAAATAGAAAAACAAACCTACTTTACGGTATATTTTGTATTAGCACAATCGTAAATCATGTATTATATAGGCTATGAACCATAAATTAATAAATAATATTTATATGTTTGTAAACTGGAGAGAGAATCACTTGGCTGTCGAAGAGATAATGGAGTACATTCGCGATTAACCAGATTTATTAACATTCACATCATAACATGTGCTAATATAGTAAACCTACACCAATACCCAATACTACATGTGAAGGACCCCACTATGATCACTGTGCCCATCTTTCATGTAGCGCTAGTGGTGTAGGGGTATCATGCAAGATTCCCATTCTTGCGACCCGGGTTCGAGTCCCGGCTGGCGCACGTAATTTTTTTTATTTATTTTATTTCTAAAGTAGACATATTTTGAAATACTCTTTTATTCCCCCCCCCCCCTTCAGAAACACATAATATTTGCCTTTGTTGTTTTGGGAGATGTGAGCCATCCTTGTTTTGTTACACAGTAGTTGGATAAAATTAGAATTCTGTCTACATTCTATATGGGTCTTATTTCTAACTCACAGCTACACAGTGTTAACAGTTAGCGAAGGCGTGACTTTTATTATTGCAGAACTATACAAACATTCAAATTGCACTGATTTAGGATATATGGACAGCTTTCACAAAGATTTAAGAAATAATGTTTGAATTCAGCTGCTGAAGGATGTGCAGTACATTGTGCGCTATAGCCAACTACAACCTGAGCGTGTGACCAGAACTCGGAAACAACCTTGGCCAGCATTACCTGTGCCATACACCAAAACCATCACTAGGTGGCGTGATATATACGCTAGTGCACTAACTACACAATATGTTGTGACATTTCCTATCTGGCGCTAGTGGTGTAGGGGTATCATGCAAGATTCCCATTCTTGCGACCCGGGTTCGAGTCCCGGCTGGCGCACGTAGATTTTTTTTAGTTTTTATTATTTTTTAAAATTCTTTATTTTTGCGAGTTACTGCAGAGATAATAACATAACATAATAAATAATAATGGCATGTGAATCGCACAGGAATGTACATGACATAAAACTATTGACAATAAGATCACATAGCTTTAACCAACTCAATTTAGGATTTTGTGGCTAAGGTATAATGGCATAATAATAATAAAGGTCTCCTCTTTCGCCAATGATGGTTTAAAGAGATCTGTCTGGGGATGTGCAGGTGTAGGGCTTTATGCGCCTTTTAGCTTATCATCACAGCGCCATTAAACATGGGCTCATTTAAGTCACCTTTGGGGTAAGTACTGAACTTAGAAGACTTCAATATTTTAGGATTGCAGCTAGAGGAACAGTTGCCTAGTCAGACAGCCGAGAGTATGAGCCGAGCGTGCATTGTAATGCCTTTATAAAAGAAATTGTATATTTTTATTATTGTGTCATCATTGAAAATTCATTGTTTAAAAAATTTGAAGCGAAACAGTACACCTTCGCATGTTCAAGAAAAAGGGTAAAAGGAAAAACTTAACAGGGGGCTAAACCATTATCTTACAGAGCTAGGATAATAGTAGGAAGATTATTAAAAAATAAACAATTGAACTTGTACAGAGTAACACAGTGAGCCCCATTTCTAGGGGATGGAATGCTCCTGTAGCAGCTGGGTGACTTGTCTAAAAGATCTCCACCATACCAGAGTATGCCTAGAAAAGTCCTTGAAAAATGCCAGCGGTGCTCCCTCGAAAGACACCATGGGCGAGCCCCTCTCGGCCCCTACAATGTTTACCCAAGAGTCCCACATTAATTTCACCAAGACATCCTTGGATCCGTCTTGGGCTTCGTTAGTAACCTTGGTAAGTCGAAAGCAGGAGTCCACTACCAGTTGTGTCACCTGCTTGGGCGTTAGCACAATGAAAATAAGCCTCTGCTATTAGTGGGGGAGTTCAGCTCCTGAAATCATTTCCAGGACTCCCAGGATTCTCAAATTTCATGCCTTGGCTCTGTCCTCCATGCTGGCTATCAGCGTCTGTTGGTCGGCACATTGTTTCTGTAGCGCTCCTGTAGCGTCATCAGTAGCTGATTGTGCTAGCGTTGTGCCCTCCACAAATGGACATGTGCAATTTGTTTTGGTCTGAATGTGAATTTGGACGAATTTCAGGCAATTCGAACATTCAGATACTTACGAATGTCCAAATTGCAAATTCACGAATTTCAGAAGTGCTGAACCAAACTGCCGAAGTCCGAATTGACGAAGTGCCAAATATTTTTCTTACCCAAATTTCCGAACCAAAACATTTTTGGATCATGCACATCCCTACAAATAATTGCCACTATTCCACAGTCCCTCCCCTCTATCTCTCCAAGCCTCCCTTCCCACGTGCCTCCCGATCTCCTCTGCATGCAGCGCCGATGATGCCTTTTTTAGTGCATATGGTTAAAGTGTGAATTCTCTGGAATTAAAAATAAATTTCACATTTTAGGCCACAATAGCCAAACTGAAAAAAAATGTCCAATTAAATTGTTTCCAGTACAGCCAAATTAACAATATATTTGAAACTCACTTTAAGGATAATCCACTAGTTTTTGAATTTTATGAAAACATATCTGAATAACTGAGTTTATGCAAAAATAAGAAATATGCAGAAATGTTCCAACTCCGATAAAGACACAACTTGACTGTTTTTACTTATATTTTCCCACTTTAATTTGCTACACAATTTAGAGCTTAGTGAATAAACCCCTTGGATTCCCAACCATTCACACATTGGTGGATAACTCTGCATAATGTAAGTTACTGGCATTCATTTAAAAAACTCCTGAACCTAAGGACATTTTCATTTTTACTGTCTAATGCAAATCCTGCTTTGGTGCTTGTTAATTATGTACTGGATGTAAGGAAGATTTATTCACAGAACTCGCATGCAGATACATGTATCCAGGTCCTACTGTTGGCAAAGACAAAACCACCATTTGTTTTGGAACATTAAATAACAATTGTTGGAATGAGTACATTTTGGTGTTACACTTCTAAACTGCGTTCAACTAGAGGGAAAAAAACCTACAAAAAAGTGCTTTGATTTGAAACCTTTGTGACAGATTATGCCACCACTACTAAATACAATAGCTTGGCTAACGCTTGTCAAGAAGGGTTAGCAACATTGCAAAGCAACAATATTGTTTATATATTTTTAGGCAGTAAGCATCATTCTAATTGTATGTGGAAAAAGGCACTATTTATCAAAAATATTTTGCTTCATAATGTTGCATAGAAAAGCAAACACCTTACAAGGCTAAAATATTTGTTATATTTTATTTTTATTATTTAAAAAGAAAAGTTCAAATAATGTACGCAAACATTCTAAAATGTGGCAAAGCAGCACTCATCCAATTGTTTTTCCACTGACAAATCATTTTGTTAGGAAAGGTACAGTCAATAAAGTTATTTAAAAAAAAAAAAGAAGCATCCAGCAACAATAATGGCGGCTCTTGTCAGGTTATAACGGGCACTATCACCGGGGATTGAGCTACTGTTGTGCGAGGTACCGATGAAATATTGAAGTTAATGTTTTGCTTGTTTTGTGACTTGTTGGGTTGAATTTATTTATTTTAAAACAAGTACTCGGAGTGTGACGTCACTTCCGCTATTGTTGGCGGCTTTTTAGAAAGTTTCCCCCAGTTCGCGAAACTTTTATTACCCCACTTCCCTCTCCCCACCTCAATTCGATTTATTTGATTCTCTTTGTAATTACAGCATATTGTTTTATGTTCAGGTTTGCAGCTCTTGTACTGGGTAAACAAACATGGTTACTAAATTTAAAAAAAAATCTTTTGTCATAAACTTTGAGTGAGCTCTTTTGTAGATGATGAGCTCCTGATGTATAAACTGGTTTCTGTAATGGTCACACAAGTTTGAGAAAAAATAATGTAACTAGATCAAAGTGTTGATGTTTAGAGTTTGCTTCCTTTTTTTTCCACCCTATTCCCTTTACCTTTTGTTAATTTATTCCCCCTGTATTTTGTTCTTTATGATATATGTCAACACTAAGCAGTATTCTTTTTATTCAGGCTGTATTGATTGTATTGTTCTTTGTATTTTTTTTTATTTTTTTTTAGTATCAATATAATTTTTGCTATGCACCATTTTTACTGTGAGAATATTGAACTTTTAGATAAAACAACTATTTTTCGACTCCCCCTTTCTGACTGCCACATTTAGGCACTTTCAGTTAAGTTCTCTGTTATGTGACTCTGTGCTCACTATATGACAACTGTCCATTGGTTTGCAAAATTGTGCGTTCTTTTCAGTCTGGTGATTTTTGAAAAGCAATGGATAGTCAATAATAACAATAGTTGCAAAATTGCGACCATAGGGTCAGATAACGGCAATCCGACCAAAGATTCAAAAAGATGGCTCTCGGAAACCAGGACTGGTAAAAGGTAGGCAGGATGTTTCTAAAGTGTAATGTACATGAGTTAAAAATAAAAATCTGGTACTAAACAACACAAAATCATGAGTGTTTTGTATTTTTTTTTTTGTTTTTTTCCCCCTCCTCTCTTTATTTAGTAGACTGATAACAGACATGCATATTACATTGTAAAAATATACTGTATACATGAGCTTTCAATCCATCTGGTCTATTTTTGTGTTAATAAAAATGGAAAGAAAAACCATGAATCTGAACATACTGTCAAAACCCTTGGGGTTCTGCCAAATGTTGGGTGTATCTGTGGCCTGAGCCCACCAACTCCTCTTTTACTTACATTTATTTATATATATCTCAAAATGCAGAACTTGGGGAAAACTGTATCCTGTATAATGGGATTAGGTGTCATACTAAGGGGAGGAGAGGTGTGGGAGGTAACTGCTATTTCATTGGGTACTGTATTAATAAATGTGACTCCCTCCCTTGCATGGGAGAAATGCTTAAAAGGAGGTTGTGTGGAATAAACATCAGTTCTGCTCCTGATGCTGTTTGTCGTCCAGTCATTGGGATCTGTATGGGGATATTCGTGGATTGCTTTGCTTATTGGAATTATTGCTTCCTGGGATTTTTCATCACTTGTTCCTGAGCCTCACTGGGATCTTAGTGGAGTTAACCTGTGAAATACCAGGTCTCCGCTACACATGTCATACCACAATTTTGGTCAGTTGAGACGCGTAGTAGTAATCATATTTTTTAATCCCAGTCTTCCACACCTTTTTGGTCTATGCAGTAATTTTCTTGCATTGCGGTGCCTCTTGTTATTCCATATAATGCAATCTCCAATTTTAGTGGTAGGTCATGCGTTCGGCAGCTGACAGATTCAGGGGCATGGAACTAGATTTATCGAAGTTGATTTTATATCCTGCTATTTTTCCAAAGTTTTTGATGGCACGAACAGATGTATAAGTGAGGTAATTGAATCAGTTAGAGCTGGGCTTGACAAATTTGCTTGGAATCTAGGAGCCAGCTAAAAACGTTAGGAGCCAGGATTTTTTTTTTTTTTTTTAAACAAAGCAGAGAAAAGGCATTGTTTACATGTTACTGAATCTAATCAAAAATGGCATACAAAATATTTGAAGAGTGGCAAGTGATCAGTTAATCTTATCATTTACATTATTGCAGTTAAAAACTTTGAAATAGTTTTTTAGGCCTTGATAGTTTGCAAGCTAAATAGGTGCCACATTGATCAAACCCTTATCTCAAATAATGTTTTATTTTTATAGTCGCTCTTGTCCTGTAATTATTACTTAAAAAATGTTTAAGACTTTTACAGTCTCTGAAAAATAATTTAGGTCATACTGGGATAAAAATACCTGTTTGTATTCCTAATGCTTTAGTGCTCCTTTAAAGGGACACTCCAGGCACCCAGACCACTTCTGCCCATTGGAGTAGTCTGGGTGCCAACTTGCACTACTCTTAACCCTGCAAGTGTAATTATTGCAGTTTTTTTATAAACTGCAATAATTACCTTGCAGGGTTAACTCCTCCTCTAGTGGCTGTCTACCAAACAGCCACTAGAGGGCACTTCCTGGATTATAGCACAGAAAACCTGTGCTAGAGCGTCGCTGGATGTCCTCACGCTGTGTGAGGACCTCCAGCGTCGCTCAATTCCCCATAGGAAAGCATTGAAAAGCATTTTCAATGCTTTCCTATGAGGAGCTCTAATGCGCATGCGCGGAGGAGGAGCGGCGGCAGAGGAAGAAGCAGCAACGTTGGACATGTCGCTGCCTCTGGTAAGTCACTGAAGGGGTTTTGACCCCTTCAGCAACCGGGGATGGGAGGTGGGAAGGAGAGGGGACCTGCAGTGCCAGGAAAACGGATTGTTTTCCTGGCACTGGAGTTTCCCTTTAAGATTACAGGCAGCTGAAGTAACATGATATAAAGACGGGTGGAGCATGGGTTGGTTAATTATAGTAAAATTCAAAACGCTGAGGGAAATCAGGGTGTTGGCATAGCGCTTACTGGAAAATGTACAGCTTGTTTGCCACCTCCTCCTAAAAATAGGGGTGAAGCAAAAGTACAGCTGTTTGCATCATTTGCTTGATGTTTCAGTAATGTTGATTTCTATAATCTTGTTTTGCAGGTAACTTATTTTCAAATTATTTTTAAAGAGCAGAAATGGGAAAGAGAAAGAAAAACTTGGAAAATGCTCCAGAGGCAGAAGACTCTGAGAAAAAGGTTAGATTGTATCTGTTCTTTTCATTTGTCAGGCTTTACTTTTATTGGGGCTATGTGTTTTCCTGGCACTATAGGCTCCTGGAGTGCCTCACACCCTCGCGCCCCACCTCCCACGGGGCTGAAGGTGTTAAAACCCCCTTTAGCCACTTTCCTGAATCCAGTGCCAATGTCCCGCCGACATCAGCCGGGGGGGGGAGGAGTACTACCTTGTGCGTATTAGATCTCCCCATAGGAAAGCATTATTCAATCTATCCTTGCACCATTTCCTAGTAATGGGTCATACTGTTTTACAATGGTTTGCTTACCTAGTTCGGCTGGGCGCTGAGTCTCCACTGAAGCATGATTTTGAGACATCCAGCCAGGTGCTGATCCTGGCACTCACTCACTCATTGGCTGAGAGTGTGACCTGACCATGTTCAACCAATTAATTAGGTACTGTGCATTAAAATTGATATTCTGGCTGATGTTATACCAATGATACTGCCATCATTTGAGTTCCACCACCAGTAGCAGAAGGTTGAAACATGGAATGTGAAGCATTTCAAAGTGAATCACTGAACAAACAATCTCTAGGCACCATGACCTCATCAAAACACTAAAGTTGTCATAGTGCATGGAGTAACCATTTAAATTTGATGTCCAGGTTTGAGTGCCCCTGGTGTCTATATTACGTTCAAAAAGTAGGGGTTTGTTACCACATTCAGGATACTTCAATTCTAATGAGGAAAACAAGGCATTGGTGGTACATGTTACGAGTGGTATATTTTGGTTTTGTGCTTCCTTAGGCATTACTAAAATCAGGCACCCTTCTAATCTAAATGTGCTCCACCCCTTCCTGTCAAGGCTGCACCTCTTCCTTAGACCAAAACTCAGGTTGACTGTCAGACACATGCCCTCACAGATACACACACTGACAGTTAAACAGTGTGTGCGTGCCAATGACTGTGTGTCACACACACACTTACTGATAGGCACACACTCTCAGATACATATACATTGACATACTCTCCTTGATAGAAACACACCCTCAATGATTTGACACACACACTTACTCACAGACACATTCACTGACACACTCACATACATTTTCACATACATGCAAAAAAAATTTTCATTTAAGTCCACCCATATATATATATATATATATATATACACACACACTTTACACTTTTAAAGCCAGTAGACAGGGACTGAGTAAGGAGACAGGGCTGTAGTGGGGGGATGAGCTGTAATTGGGGGGTTAGGAAATGTAGTGGGGGGATAGGGGTTGAAGTAGGTTGATGGCTACAATTTGGGAAAGGGGCCGTGGTGTTGGTGTTATGGGTTGAAATTGGGGGAGATGAACTGTAGTGGGGATGTTATGGGGGCTGTGGTGGGGGGACATGGGGCTGAGAGGGGGGTACAGGAGCTGAGGTGGGGGTGGGGGCAGGGGCTGAGGAAGTGGACAGGGGCTGAGGAGGGGGATAAAAAAAGCAGACAAGAAAAACTAAAGTGTGTCCCCCTGAGTCCTACCTTAGGCCAGGGAGAGGTGGGCAGGAGCCAGCAGTCAGTGGAGTCGGCCGGCCTTTCCTGATGATGTCAGGAGGAGAGGGCGTGACTTCCTCTGCTCTTCTCCCAGACTCCCCAGCGGTCCTGGGAGAAGAGCAGTGAAAGTCATGCCCCCTCCTCCTGACATCATCAGGAGAGGCTGGCCGACTCCACTGGCTACAGGGAGAGTGAGGTAAGTTGAAAAATCCGAGTCCCCAGCCAAAGGCAGGGGATTCAGATTTTTCCTTTTTTTTTTTTTTTTTTGCTGGGTTTAGGGCAGCCTGGGGGGTCATAATTGCTATCTGCCTACAATATGCACAGCCGCCCTAAGGTGGCCAGCCAGCCAGCTCTCGTGCCTCATGTGTCTCATGACATGAGGCTAGCATGGCATCTGCTAAAGTTGCTGGGGCGTTTGGAAGCGTCCCACCTGGAAAGTGCCGCCCAAGGCAAATGCCTTGTTGTACAAGCAAAAAGTGACTCTTTATATAATCACCTTAAAGGTGCCTCCCCTGATGGTGGTGGAGGGGCCAGAGGTCCTCGTCCCTCCTCGTTGTAGCCCAAATCCAGGCGCAAAATGTGGGGGTCCAGGTTAATCAGTGTTATAAACTATTTATTGTTGACTGCCGTCAAATACATATAAATCAATACATACTAAAAATAAAATAAATTTCCATAAGCCCGGTCCTACGCTTTTTGTTCTGTCTTCAGGGACATTTATCAATAAAAACACAATCAAATGCTGTAAAACCACAATCAAATTCCCTCCCCACAACAGTTCCCTTATACAGGGCTAGTCCCTAAACGTGCATAGGTGGTATATAGGGCGTTGTTGTAGGTCGATCATTTAAGCCCACAAAGAAAGCTCTGAAGATCTACTGAGTTGATCGAGTACACATGTGAATGAACCAATAACCAATTTAAAGATAAGTATAAATAGTAAAGTGCACTGTATACTAAAGTAAAAACTAAAATTAGGGTCCCATGTTTGGTTCCTAGTAAAACAATAACCATTAAAGGGAAACTATAGTGCCAGGAAAACGGTTATTTTCCTGGCACTATAGCTCCTAATAGTGCCCACCTCCCACCTTAAAAACCCCTTCTCTCACTTACATGGTCCAGTGCCGATGTCCCTTGGTGCTGGTTCGGGTCCGCCTTCGCTTCCCTTGTGTCACTTACCTGGGTCCAGCGTCGATGTCCCTCTGACGTTGGGATATTTTTTTTAACCATATCTCCTTTCTCCAATTTAGACAAAGCCTTTCAATGTCAATACAACTAAGATGTTTAAAATGAAATACTGGGCAAGAGTTGCAGTGCATCAGAAGACCCTTCAGAATGTTATTAATGTGCTCCATTATTCTGATCTCTAGTGGTCTCTTGGTTCGGCCAACATATTGCTTGCCGCAAAGACACTGCAGCAAATACACCACAAAATCTGTGCGGCATCAATCTCAGAACAAAATGGCAAGACTTCATGAATAACAGTAATAGTAACGTGTGTAGATCTATCCATCCCATTGGAGTGACAAGCTTTGCATCTTTGGCAACCCCTAAAACAACTTTTCGCATCTACTGTCATATCTATTTTTTTCTTTTTAATATAACTGGGTGATAATATTTTTCAAATTCTGATTCCTTTTAAAAATCCTCATAGGTTCTTTAGGTAACAATTAGCCTAATATTGGGTCCTTTAATACAATTGGCAAGTGTGTGTGTGTGTGTAAGCCTCTACTTATTTCCTCATGATTAGTGTTGCACCTTCCCACGAACAAGGGAAGCAAGCTCCAGGGTAAGAATCTTGATTATGTTCGGTAGTTTGTTAGTTTTTAAACTACCGAACTAGACTGACCGCTAGTCCTGATCCTATGGAACTGTTTTGGGCAGGAGCCTTGTATGTGGTCGGTCAAGTTAAGACTTCCAGGAAGTTCCCGAACCCCTGAACCGATCTGGGTGATTTTTGGATATGTTGGTCACCCAAATCAGGGCTATCAAGGGATGTAACTTTTAGGAGTTTTTTATGTAATTTTAAGGTACTTTTGGGGTGTTTGTGAAATGTGTTTTTTGTGCCTCTAGATAATTGAGTTTTGTACAGTTCCTGACTCCGTTATCTCCCAGGTATAGGGGATTATCCTGTTTTCTGTGGGAGTGTGATGGGAGTGCTTGTCTGTGTTAAAAAAAATTATAAAAACAGGCCATCTGTCCAGATTAAACGTATTCCAGCTTGTACTCCCAGAACTATGTGTCGTCTGGTTACAGTTCCAGTGTGAAGGATTCGACGGGGAAAGTCCTTGTAAGAACTAGAACTCCCAGGACTGAGCGTCGTCCAGTGCATGGGGGTGGATAGAGCAAGGTCCCAATTCGGCTCCAGGAGGGAGCGGCTCCAGGATCCCAGTCAAGCCGCGGCGACTGTGAGCAGAAGTGCTGCGGTTTGTCACCTGTTGCAGTTAGGGTAGTGGTCCTTGGTCGAGGTACCCATCCAGGTGTACAGGGAGCTCTGTTACAACTACCTTTCCAAATAATAATAGCATTCAATATAATGCCATCAGAACATCAAGCATGCCATCCAGTTATGACCAGAGCACACAAACAGATCCTCCAATCTGCTCATAAAGATATTGGCATAAATGGGGGGAAAACCTGATGCCCATAGTGTTCATAGTTACCTGCAAATAAAATGTACTATTATCTTGACTAATACAAACATATGATAGCTTCTAAGAATGCTTTGTTAGCCTCTCAGTAAATACAGTGCTGTGAAGGAAACACATAAAAACATCAGTTAGTTTGTACAAGGCATGATTCTGATAAGTAAGGTTAACAGACAATAGAGTTTGCACAATCTACAACACCAGCTTAAAGGACCACTATAGGCACCCACACCACTTCAGCTTAATGAGGTGGTCTGGGTGCCAGGTCCAGCTAGGGTAAACCCTTTTTTTTTATAAACATAGCAGTTTCAGAGAAACTTCTATGTTTATGTTAGGGTTAATCCAGCCTCTAGTGGCTGTCTCTTGACAGTGAGAAGACGCCAGCGTCCATAGGAAAGCATTGTAAAGCATTGTAAATGCTTTCCCATGAGACTGGCTGAATGCGAGCGCAGCTCCGGCCACGCATGCGTATTCAGCCGGAGAGGAGAGCTCCCTGCCCGGCGCTGGAGAAAGAGGTAAATTTAACCCCTTCCTCCCCCCTGAGCGCCACGGGAGTGGGACCCTGAGGGTGGGGGCACCCTCAGGGCACTATAGTGCCAGGAAAACGAGTATGTTTTCCTGGCACTATAGTGGTCCTTTAAGAATGAGAAATTGTACCTGCACTTTTTCAAGATTAAAATAACGAGAATTACATCTCCCTTTTAAAAGAGTCGGTGTTGGTCTTGAATTAGCATGAGAGGAACAAGACTATTCATAGCTTAAATATAGTAGTAAATAGATTGGCTTACAGAGTGGTACACTGACCAGTGAACATACAATCAAATATTTTCCATGGGCTCAAGAGAGCATTGAGTGATATGAAAGAAATAAAATTGAAAATTATCTAAAACAAAAAACCTCAACACTAAAATGAACTGTGTGCAGAGCAAGTGGCCTGACAAAACAATCCGACTCCCTGTTGGAAAATGGCATGAGACCAGGGAAGGACAGAGATAGTGGAAACCCATTGTTCCCTTATCATCAGGCCCATCACCTGCAGGAAAGGGTCGACAAGCCTCCAGATCAGGCAGGCATAAACATCGTGCTCCTCTTTTGGGGCGCTGTGGGCATGCTGGATTTTCCTAGATCGAGAGCTGTGTCTGCTTTTAGTAGCTTTGTGGCATCTCTGCCATCTCCTCTAGACTCTCTTGGGGTGGAAGCATTGCTGGTGTCAAATTACTCTAGGTGTAGCCTGTAGAACGTTGACATTCTCTGCCCAGTGTAATTTTGCTCATTGCCAGCAAACAATGGGAACTCTGAGGCCTTCCCCAACATCTACCTCGGTAAGTTGGCGTGATGAGACCAATCTCGCCACTGTGCATTGGAGTAGCCTGGTTGCCTGCCTGCTGCCTTTTGACTGTGGACCGGCATTTAAATACTTTATTTTCCTATGCAGAAAGGTCTATTCATGTATTTCTGCCCGGGCGTTCGGTAGATTCTATCTACCGAACAAACAGCCGTCTATTGGCCTCCCAGGAGCCGTGGTTAGCTGGCAGGCGCCGTTAATTGGCAGCCCAGAGGCCGTCGAGTGCCGCCAATTGACTGCCCAGAAGCCACGGTTAGCTGCGGCTTAACGAGAGTTTGCCGTCAATTGACCACCCAGTAGCTGCGTTTAACCGCAGCTTAATTGACTATACCGGGTGGCCGCGGCTATGGTTACTGAACACTGGATGGCAGCAGTCTGCAGTTCAGTTGGAGTTTTGCCTCTGCCCTTGGAGATAATTGGATTACTTCCCAATTATCTCCAGGATAGAGAGGAGGGATTGTGATGTCATTGTATGTTTTGATTGGATGTTCCACAAAACCCTGTGGGTGGGACTTTGTCTGTAAAATGTGTATATAAGGCCAATAAAGACACAGCTCAGTCTGATCACTGCTTGACCCTCAACACGGAGCCTTGTCTCGTTCTTGGGGGGATTTACTGTATGCTGTTAGAGACTGATTGCCAGGAGTGTAAGCCGCTTTCGTGCTTTTGCTGTTCAGCTGCTAGCAGCTATTCATGAGGTTCCAGTTCGGGGGTTTGGAGTGCTACTTTGTATCCTGTTCGGGAGTTTGGGGTTCTGCGGTAGCTGTGCCTGTGTCTCTGGAAGGGGAAGATCTTCTAAACGGCGGTTTAACCCCTTTTATGTCTGATGGTGCCGTTACAATTGGTGGCAAGCGGCGGGATCGATCCTACAGCCAGAAGGACAGCTACAGGAGACACCATTCCCTGGATTTACAAATTGAGGGCAACGCATGTCTGAGTACAGCGACCCTGACGGCACCAGGATGGAACCAGCAGTGGAGTACAGCTACTCTTTGGAGCAGTTTGACCTTATGATGTGGTTGCGGCTGAACTTCTACGGACCCAATCCACATGAGAAATCCGTGAAGTTCGTAAGGAACCTGGTGTTCAGGACCCTGCAATACCAGGCAGAGAGAGAGGGACGGCGGGCACGATGGCTGGAACTCCACCTGCAGGTATATTGGCGGGACAGAGAGAGCCCAGTCTCGTCTCCTCAGCGGCAGGGTGATCAGCAGGGAATAGGGAGCCCAGTCTACATTCGCCAGTGGCAGTGTGATCTGCAGGGAATTGGGAGCCCAGTCTCCATTCCCCAGCGGCAGTGTGATCTGCAGGGAATTGGGAGCCCAGTCTCCATTCCCCAGCGGCAGTGTGATATGCAGGGAATAGGGAGCCCAGTCTCCATTGCCCAGCAGCAGTGTGATTTGCAGGGAACAGAGAGCCCAGTCTCCATTGCCCAGCGGCAGTGTGATTTGCAGGGAACAGAGAGCCCAGTCGCCTTTCCCCAGCGGCAGGCTGAGCTACAGGGGCAGAGACAGTCGGTCCTGTCCCCCAGCAGCAGAGTGTTTTATTGGGAGAGGAGAGCCGTGTCCTCCCTCCCCAGCGGCAGATGCAGCAGGGAATTGAGAGCCCAGTCTCCTTTCCCCAGCAGCAGGACACTGTATTGGGAGCGGAGACAGTCGGTCTCCCTCCCCAGCGGCTGGGAGTATGTGCTTGAGGAGCTTGTTACCCCCTCTGCCCAGCGGCAGCTTAACGTACCAGAGGGAGACAGTAAGCCCCACATCCGTGCAGATGGGACCGTGGTCTCTGCACTTACAGCACAGGGGGTAGGGACAGTCGGTCCTGTCCCCCAGCAACAGGGCTGTTTAACCAAAGGGGAGACAGTCGGTCTCCCCCCACAGCAGCATGGTGGTTTGTCCAAAGGGGAGACAGTTGGTCCCCCCCTTCAGCAACCAGGCTCTAACCAGGCTACTTCCGTGGTAGTGCTGGCACCAGGGCAGAGTACCGCTGGTCTCTGCCTACACAGCAACCACCAAGGCAGCCTACCAGTCCCCCACACAGCCGTGGTGAGGCACCTGGACATGGACAAGTTTCTCCCTTACTAAAGTGTAGTAACCATTTATTGTGGGTGGGCTGTACTGCTGTTTCTGTTTTGTGGGTGGGCTGCTGGACTAACCAGGGCACTGACCGGCAGGAGGTCAGATACCCTGTTAGTCTGTTTGGAAAAGGGGAGAGATGTGACGAGACCAATCTCGCCACTGTGCATTGGAGGAGCCTGGTTGCCTGCCTGCTGCCTTTTGACTATGGACCGGCATTTAAATACTTTATTTTCCCATACAGAAAGGTCTATTCATGTATTTCTGCCCGGGCGTTCAGTAGATTCTATCTACTGAACAAACAGCCGTCTATTGGCCTCCCAGGAGCCGCGGTTAGCTGGCAGGCGCTGTTATTTGGCCGCTTAGAAGCCGGCGAGCGCCGCCAATTGACCGCCCAGAAGCCGCTGTTAGCCGCTGCTTAACGAGCGTGTGCCGTCAATTGATCACCCAGTAGCTGCGGTTAACCGCAGCTTAATTGACTATACTGGGTGGCCGCGGCTACGCATACTGAACACTGGATGGCAGCAGTCTGCAGTTCACACGCGGCTGGTTCATTCACGGATTTACTGAATGAACTCATTTAACCCAGATAGCTATGCCATGGAGCCTATTCGTGTAATAAAAGACTTTGGCTCCATGGCAATTGAACTGTATGTGTGTGGTCTGAGCGCCATTCAGTAATAATGTGCGCTCAGACCTAAGCTATCTGGGAATATGTTGCATGTCTGTTTTTTATGTAATAAATGTAACCTTGTGTATTTTATTGTATTTTACTGTCTTTTTACTGCCATGTGCTTAATGGAGTTTTGCCTCTGCCCTTGGAGATAATTGGATCACTTCCCAATTATCTCCAGTATAGAGAGGAGGGATTGTGATGTCATTGTGGGAGTGTTTATCTGTGTTGTATGTTTTGATTGGATGTTCCACAAAACCCTGTCGGTGGGACTTTGTCTGTAAAATGTGTATATAAGGCCAATAAAGACACAGCTCAGTCTGATCACTGCTTGACCCTCAACATGGAGCCTTGTCTCGTTCTTGGGGGGATTTACTGTATGCTGTTAGAGACTGATTGCCAAGGTGCTTTTCCTGTTCAGCTGCTAGCAGCTATTCATGAGGCTCCAGTTCGGGGGCTTGGAGTGCTACTTTGTATCCTGTTCAGGAGTTTGGGGTTCTGCGGTAGCTGTGCTTGTGTCTCTGGAAGGGGAAGATCTTCTAAATGGCGGTTTAACCCCTTTTATGCCTGGGGGTGCCGTTACAGTTGGGAAGTGGCGATGTAAGGGATTGTGGTGCTATAGACCTAGAGATAGGTTGCCCGAAGTTGGTAGCCAATCTCTGCTAAAATGGCCTAGTCTGTCAAATTATTTTAGTAAGTCCCACTTAGCGTGGACAGTAATGTCATGATTAGACTAGTGGTGTGCTAATGTTGGCCAGAATCAACTCCAGCGCCCAAAAGGGGGGACAGAGCCTGCAGAAACGCAAGTGCAAGAATGCTACAAAGCGAGGAATAATTCACCTTCCTCCCCCACCTCAAGTTGACCAGCATATCTCAGAGCAGTGACTGTTTAACAGTAGTTTAGTCTAAAATATGGATAGGGGCTTAATATATGAAATAAGGACTTTAAGCTGACTACATTATACATAGAATATGCTTTCCAAACTGAGTCTCAGAAAATCATAAGAGCTCCACCACTATGTGACTATCTCGGTTAGCAGCCAGGCTGCATCCCTCATCAGGGTCCTTTCTTGAGTGCAAAAATCTTGCACTCTTTCTTGGAAATCTGAAGCTGAGATATTGCAGCTGCACGTTGAGGACCGTATCTTACAGACTACAATTTTAACATGCTTTGTAAATGAGTCAAAGGGACATTCCACTCCACTCCAAATAAAAAAATAAATAAAAATCACTCTTTAGATACACTTCAGACAGGGCTTGCGCTATCATTGGGTGGCCCAGGTCGGTGCCTACGAGCTGCCTTGGGGGTGCAAAATCCTGCTGACCGGCATGAGAGGAGCACACAGCACAAGTGCTCCCTTCCAGCCACTCCTGTGTAGCATGGCAGTGCCGCGGACTGGGGGAGAGGAGCTTCTGTAACCTCACCCTGGTCTGACAGGAAGAGCGCGCAAGGAGCGCTGAACTGCTTCTTGTCAGACCAGGGAGAGGTTACTGTAGCTCCTCTCCCTTGTTCCACAGCTCAGCCATGCTACACAGGAGGAAGGTGAGTAGACACATGAAAGGGGAAAGAGAGTGGGAGACACATGGGGGGGAAGGGGGTAAAACACATGCATACTTAAATGCATGCATGTTTGCATCTCTGGTCATGGGAGGTATGATGGTAGTCACCATCACCTGGACCTTCAGACAGACTATTTATGTAGGTTGCTGGACTTTTCTTATGTTTTAGTCACCCTGTACCAGTTATAGGTGCAGGGTGTGTGTAATGTAATTGTTTATAATGTGTGTGTTTATACTGTTAAATGTTTTGCCTGCTCTCCTGTACTGCTGAGGATTGCCACCAACTAGGTGAATTTGGCTATGGAGCCCGTGTATTGCCCTCTATTGGTAGCAACAGCAATATGCACTACCTGAATAGCAAGGCTGGCTAATTTGCATATTCGGGTAGATTTGCATGTTGCTAATTCTGCAGGCAGGAGAGAGATTGTCTGTTAATTTTTGTCTTCCACACCCTTTTATAAACGTGTCGCATTATAATAAGTTGCTGTATGTCGTCTGCTATGCTTTGACGGTTTGTATTTTTATTGAGTTGTCACAGCAATCTTTATGTAATAATCATATGGGCTAGTCCCAAGAAAAATTTAAGTCTTGTATGCTTGTTCCTTTTAGAATTTGTGTCCTATGTAAAAAAACAAAAAGGAAGGGGGAAATGAGACAGACAGGGGTTATATCTAGAAACTGCTTGCAAATGCTACAGTTTTCTTGTCTTCTGCTTTTGCAAGCCAGATTCTTCTTCCCCAGCTCAGATGTGCCAGCTTAATGTGGTTGTCCAATCACAGACTTTCAAATGAGAAGTTATAAAAGGCAGGTGCTGTGGGCAATTTCTCTGCCTCTTGAAATTAGCTTCACTGATCTACATAAACCAGGAAGTAACAGGACCACTTGTCTGCTTGAAAGCCAGTGGATGTAATAAAAGTAAATTTGGAAAAATGGCAATTTCTATTGAAATCTCTTCACACATACAGCATTCCAGCAAGCTAAACTTCTTAAGGAGTATGGAGTGTTTATTTTAAATTGTGGTCTTGAAGTTTATCTCAAATGCTTTAATGTGATTAAACAGCACATGCTTACCAGTTTATCTTTTGAATGAGGTTTCATATTTAATTAATTTACAAAGCTAAAGTGGGCCAACCACTTTGGATGATGGAACTCTGACACTGGCTTGCTTTTTGCTGTCATGCACTGTTGAGTGGCATTTTTCAGCTCCAGAATCATTTTGAGCACTTTTGTATTCACAGGTAGCATTAAAGGGTCTGGTACTTATGTCTGGTACTTAGTGATGTCCCGAACAGTTCGCCACGGACGGCGAACATATGCGGTAAACTTTGACCCTGTACCTCAGAGTCAGCAGACACATTCCAGCCAATCAGCAGCAGACCCTCCCTCCCAGACCCTCCCACCTCCTGGACAGCTCACTAAGCATGCAGCTTCACAATGAATGTAAAATGGATGCTGTCCAGGAGGTGGGAGGGTCTGGGAGGGAGGGTCTGCTGCTGATTGGCTGGAATGTGTCTGCTGACTGTGAGGTACAGGGCCAAAGTTTACCGCATATGTTCGCCGTCTGCGGCGAACCGTTCGGGACATCACTACTGGTACTTATGTCTGGTAAATGGGAGGCATGGTTGTTAATGCACTAAATGTAACCCTTCTTTGCTATTTTGTCCTTAAGCATTCCAAGCGCACACAACAGAGTCCTGGAGAGCAAAAGAAGAACTCTCGTAAAAAACTAGGTATGAAATTTCTTTTCTATAACTTTAATTTTCCCATATTTAGTTAAATTGCTTAGATTTGTATTAATTTAACTGCAGGAACAGAAAGAATATATATATATATATATATATATATATATATATATATATATATATATATATATATATATATATATATATATATATATATACATACATACATCGTGTGCATTTATAATTGCTTGTGTGTTTACTGCAATTGTGCAGTTTGTAGTAGGTTATTATCCAGGCTTATAGGGAAACTATAGTCACCTCCCCCCTCACGGTGCAGAAGGGGTTTAAAAAACCTTGTCACTTACCTGGGACCCGCGCTGATGTCCATTGACGCTGGCTCTGGTCCGCCTTCGCTCCTCCCACGCTGACATCCCCCGCTGGTAGATAGCCACTAGAGGAGGAGTTAACCCATAAAGATAATTATTGCAGTAATTGCCTTTCCAGGGTTAAGGGTGCTGGGACACTGCACCCAGACCACTTCAATGAGCTGAAGTGGTCTGGGTGCCTATAGTGTCCCTTTAAAATGTCAAGTCCTACATTGTTAATCAGGCCTTAAAAGTTACTTGCCAATACAAGCTTGGAGAAGTCATGGCATACTTACCAAGGGGTGAATTTTTACTCATTATTATTATTATTGATATTTATATAGCGCCAACTAATTCCACAGAGCCTTAAAATATTATGGAAGGGGGGACATTTACAATAAATGAGACAATTACACAGTGACACAGGAACAATAGGTAGATGAGGACACTGCTCAAATGAGCTTACTTGCTACTTGGCTATGTAATGATATTCTTGACCATGTTCAAATCCTGTGCAACTGCTAATAAAGCATGACAAATTAAGAGAGCATTCTTCTTAAGTAAAATTGCACCTTTGATTACATTATTGTTACAACAGTTTGTCAAACCCATCTCTGATATCTCAAGTAAAGTAGGTTAGTCAGGGTCATCTAAAGAAGTAGCCATAACCATAATCTTAAAGGATAACTGTCATCTCAAAGCTATTTTTTAATCTAATAATGTTTTCATCAAATCTTAAAAGGAAATCTATTTTTTTTTTTATTAAGTGTATATAAAAAAGTAAAAATGAAAAACTCATTGCTACCTTTAGAATATGACAGGATCCTTCAGCCATATACAAGAATCTTTGGTTGGACAGTGTTTGAAAGCCAGCAGTTATTAGCTGCAATCCTCCCCGCTTCACTCCCAGCACCCTGGGGCTCCTCCACGATTTTGCCACATCCAACATGGCTGCTGCTTTCCACTGTTCCTGGAAGTCAGAAACAGCAGAGATTGCGAGGCCACAATCTTAAGCATGGCGTCGGCCATTTCATGTTTGAGAAATACTATAGGAGGGCAGCAGGTTTTATAACGATTCCTCAACCTTGTGAAAACCTACAAATCAAACAAACAAAGATTGTGCACCAATACAACTTTGTGCTTTGAGATGACAGTTATCCTTTAAGATTATGGTTATGTCTACTTCTTTAGATGACCCTGTGTGTAATATATATATATATATATATATATATATATTTTTTATTTTTATTTTTTTTTTTCATGTGATCACATCTAGAGGTTACCGATCTTCTTAGGCGCAGTATATTCTTTGTTTGTTTCACTTGTTTGAGAGCATTGACAGGAAGGTCGCGTGTAGGAAAGCTCAAATTTTTTCAGGCTTAGCTATTTTTAAATCAGTATTGTGCCCAATCTGGCTTCACGTCGGAGGAAAATTGTCTTGTTGTGCTGCTCTTTAGATTATCGCCCAATGTGGCATCTGTGGATAGGTATACACAGTTACACTGATAGAGGCTCTAGTCTAGACTTATGTTCAAGCTCCCTCCCCTCCCGTCTCCTTTTTTTTTTTTCCCCTCTAGCTCCTTTGAAGATAATTGTTCAATTAATAGGTGAGCAACTGTCATCGCTACAATTCACATGATACATGCTACATTTTCATTGTAAAACACAGTAAGGTTTATTGGCTGTGTTATATCTAATCCATTAATCATGACTGAAACCATTTCTCACGGGGCCCTGTTTGTACCATATTGTGCTTTTGTTTTAAAACATACAAAACATTTTTAGCAAGGTCAAATGCATTAAAGTTGTATTGGTGCACAGAGTGTTGCTTTAATTTTACAGGGACATTTTAGTCAAAATTATTTTGAAAACAGGGCAATGGGTAAATTTTAACCTCTTATTTCTCTTTAAATATATATTTCCCTTTAGCTTTGTTGTATACGACTAAGACTCTGTCTTTTTTATTATTTTTTTCAAATTAAAATGTTTGTGTAAAACATTGACAATGAAGTGGTAATAGATGTGCTATATTAGTATTTTAGTATTTAAGTTTCTTTTGAGAAAACATTTGATATGTCCATATGTGTTCTATCAGTTCAGTTTTAGGATCAGCTTTTTCCTTTGTGGTTTTGCATTACTCTTATCTATTTACCATAATATCTTTCCAAATGCAGGTCATGCCCCTTCAGGAGGGAAATCTGTTCAGCGGACTAGGGTTACATTCCAGAAGCCACTTACAGTAGGGGTTCTAGAACATGTAGAGAGCTGCATGGAAACTGCCATGTTGTGAGTGCTGCTTATCATGCCTGTCGGTTGTTTATTAAGGGAAAAAAGGATTTGGGATGTTAGAAAAAAAAAAAGATTTTGGTTTGTTTTCTTTTTCCAGGTCAGTCTTGAGTAGAAAAATCTCTTTACGTCAGTTGATCCAGGAGCAGCTAATTTCCTTAACACAGCGGTAAGGTGACCACAGTCATGCATTCTTGGTGTAAGTCCTGTTATACAACATAATGCTTTTAGTGTAATGAATATAGACCAAAAAAAGCACTTCTAGGGAAAATGTTTCATGTTCACATAATTTATCTGTCTTCCTCTGCTCCAGCAGCATAAACTTCCAGTAGTAGGCAAAGAAGTACATGTTCTTTAAGTTATATTTAACTTTTATTTGAACTGTTTCTTTAGCAAAAGTTAGACTTGTATTGTAATCCACACACAAGCAAGTGTTTGTTTATTCTCAAGGCAGTATATAAATAGATAATAAAAATGGCACTAAATGAGTATGGGCAAAAATACAGAGAAGCAGAGTGAGTATAGGTACAATTACATACCAGTAATTGATTTCACACATGATGTATCAAAACACTGGATTTTAAAGTGTTGCTACAATTCCATAAAACACTTTTTGTTGTAGTAACCCCTTCTGTGCTGGTCCACCAAATCTCCTTATGAAAGAAAGGCTTAAACTCACCTCTTTTCCCTTGATGGAGGTGGGAGGGAGAGAATGTGCGACCATTGAATGTCTGGCACAAGCAGTTGTGCACAGAACTGAAATTAGCCAGCCCAGAGTTCTTGGCTGACTAATGATGCTGTTGTCAATGGAGTTATACCTCAGGCAGCAAGAGGGGTTAATCTCTGTATGTGCAGTGTTTCAAATTAAAATGCTGCATATACAAACTCTAGGCACCATGACCACTTCAAATGACTGTAGTTGTCATGGTACTTGGAATAACCCTTTAATGACAAAAAAGAAAAAGAAAAAACAGAGCACAATTAAAAATAGTAAAAAAAAAAAAAAAATTCTTGCAGACAACTTAAACATATAACTTAAAGGGGCACTATAGGTACCAAACCAACTTTTTGTGTATAGTTCTTGCCCCTGCAGTCATAATGCACAATTCTCTGCCATTTAGGCTTTATGTCACTTCTGAAAGTCCACTTCTAGGGAGTGGCTGATATATCATATCCCAGCCAACTTCTATTCTTCCAATGGAAGTAGCATTGCACCTGTGTGAGTGGTGTCATTATCACACAAACAGAGCTTTTCCTGCTATAGAAACTGCAAGCGATTTCACTAGAACAGAGTCCTTACAGCAATACTAAATATATGTTCTGAATTTATCAGAAAGATCTGAACGTACTATAGTATGTTCACTAATCTGATAATACAAAATAAGGAGTTAATATACCAGAAAAAAAACCTTTCCCCACTACCTCTACTTACATGACAAATTTTGCATACTTTTTATCTTATTTTTTTTTCCCCTTAAAAGCTACAACTGAAAAAAGTTTAGTACAATAGTGATTAGTAAGAAAAATTACCAAACTACAGTGGGGCAATAAATGATCAAAGTTACCATCCATTCATAATGACAGTAAGCCGTCCAACACATAAAAGTGACTGATATTATCTTGCTTGCTGTGGTGAACTGTGGACCACTTGTGTTTGTACACAAAGTCTTTCCAAAGATGTTACCATCCTGCACAGTCCTGACTTCTGAAATGTCGCACAACTTAACTCAAGACAAAGATGTTGCTTGTTGGTGGTTTGTGATATAATCATTCACTGACCATTACACAAGGAATGGCGCACAAGGAGTTCTGACTTCTCAAATGTGTCTTTGAGAGTCAGGCAAACACAGTCTGTGTGCCTCTTTTGTAGAAATACAGTACTCTGAAGGAAATAAAGTACTAATAAATTAGAACTTGAAACTCAAGCATATTGAAGACTGAATAGTTTAAAGGCTTAAAATAGTAATGAGCTACAGTTAATCTCTGTTCTAAATATTAATCACTGATGAGGTGTTTGATTCCGGCCTTTAAGCTATCAAGTCACTTGAATTGAACCTTTAATATAATTTTCCTTTGATTTGATACGTTGTTTTTATGTTTTTATCACGATAATGAAAACATCTTTGTATTGTTCCCTACATGAATCAGGTTCCTTCGTCAGTGTAAGAATGCAAAATTTCCCTCAACCAAACTGAATAATTTAAAGAGCCTGAAAAGAAATTTGTTGCAGGAACAGAGGATAACACAGGAACTAGAAGAAACAATGCATTCCTTGGATGTAAGTAGATATCTATTTATTTGGGCTTGTCATTGAAAATTGAAAATACAAGCTTGAACTATGTTAGGGTGTAATGACATGTCCTTGTCCTACAATTCCCCCTCATGCATATTTCCAATGACAGATGTGACCAGGGGACTTACATGACAACTAAGCCCGTCCCGAAAGAGCCATCCGCCGCGGTCTGAATCACAGATACTGTGTCACAGCCAATAAATTTAAACATTGCTGATCATTGACTCTGCCTCACTTTGATCTGAGGCAAAAGAAACAGTGAGATCATTCTTATGCAAAGTTCTAACATTGTTATATATTTAAAAAAAAAAAATTATTGGGGTGGTGAGGGGGATTTGTTTTAACCCTTTCACTGCTGATCAGTGTTATTGTTATTACATAGTAACATGGGCTGAAAAGAGACATGCATCCATCAATTTCAACTTTTCTCACGTGTGTTTGCTGTTGATTCAAAAGAAGGCAAAAAATCTGAGTGTGAAGCCATTTCCCATTTTGCAACAAACAAGGATATAATTCCTTCTCGACCCTAGAATGGCAGTCAGATCTCACCTCAGATAAAGAAGCTGTTACCCCACATATTTAAAATTCTCAAGGCAGTATATAAATACTTAATAAAAATGGCACTAAATGAGTATGGGCAAAAATACAGAGAAGCAGAGTATAGGTACAATTACATACCAGTAATTTATTTCATACATGATGTATCAAAAGACTGGATTTTAAAGTGTTGCTCCAATTAAAAACCAAGAATTTTCAAGAATTCATCCAGTTTCTGTTTAAACATCAGACTCTGATAAAACCACCTTTTCAGGTAGAGAATTACACATCCTTATTTCCTTTCTTCCAATCTAAATGCAGGACTTTGTGTCCTATGGAAAGTCCTGTTGATGAATAGATTTCCAGATAATGGTTTTTATTGCTCCTGAATTTATTTGTAATATGTTATCATATCTCCTTTGAGGTACTGTATTTCTAAACTAAACAGATTTAAATATGTTAACCTTTCTTCAGAACTTAAATATTTAATATCCTGTTATTAATGTTTGTGTCGTTTATCTGGGGAAGAGATGACCACAGATACACTATAGGAAGAAGGCAAGCAAGCAGAGGCAGGGTTATGCTCTGGGTAATGTTCTGCTTGGGCCCTGGTATTTATGTGCATGTTACTTTGACCCATATCACCTATCTAGGTATATCTATTGCACAGTGATTTATATATTTATTTATTTGTATTTCTGCAGTGGAGTGAATACAAAATGGATCGGTGCGTGTTATAGGGCGCTTAAAAACAGTATTTTTATTATGTAGTTTTTCTAGCGTTTATAGTCAGTCCCTGCAGGCCTTTTGCTGTAAACACTGCCTTTTCAGGGAAAGTACTACACAATGGTGCCACACTGACGTGCAGCATCTCTATGCTCTGCATGGAGACGCTGAACTTTCCCAAAAGAGATACACTGAGTCAATGCTTCTCTATGATGATATGCTGATGGCCAGAATGGCATTTTGCCACATGTGCACATTAGCCTCCCAATGCTTTCCTATGGGAAAACATTGGCTGAGATTGTCAGTTTTGATGATCTTCGCTAAGGAGGAGGAGCGTGGGTGGTGCCAGTGGACTTGCATGGCACTGAAATAAAGGCATGTTTTCATTCTTCTTTGGGGGAGGGGGTGAAAGGGAGAGCCTGGAGGCTAATGTGTTTTTAACACAAAAGGGTCACAATAGGTTCAGGAACACATATTTGTTATTTGTTGGCCCTTAGGGCCACCCGATGGGCAAATCACTGCGGAACCCCAATTTTGTTCTCACGGAACCCTAGGGTTCCGCGGAACACCAATTGGGAAACTCTAGTATAGAGAGTTGTCATTAATGGTAAAATTTCATGCTGGACAAAAGTGGTAAGTGGTGTCCTCAGGGTTCTGTTCTCGGACTGCTTCTATTTAACATATTAAAAATTGTTTTGAAATAGGCATTGAAAGCCATGTTTCAGTTTTTGCAGTTGACACAAAACTCTGTAAAGTAATACAATGTGAGCCGGATATTGCTTTCCTGCAGAGAAAATTGGAAAAATTGGGAGAATGGGAGCTCAAATGACAGATGAAATTTAATGTAGAAAAATGCAAAGTTCTTATTCGGGGCGTACACCGAGGCGAACGTGTATGTTTTCTGGGTTATCGTTCCCTTCACAAAAAGGAATATGCCATTTGGGTCTGCGATTGTTTCGGAGTGTGTGAACTGTAGGTTGGTGTTTAAGAGGATCGAGACACCTGCTTTCCGAGCAGTCGGGTGATTACTGTGAAAGGTGGTATGGTAGTGCTTGTTTCGTAGTCTGTGGTTATCCACGTCCCTGAGGTGCGTTTCTTGTAGTAGGGCGATAGATACTTGGCGACGTTTGAGGTCCTGCAGTAAGTATGCTCTTTTTTCGGGTGCGTTCAAGCCCCGGCAATTTTGTGTAATGATATGGAAGGGTGCGGCTGAATATGTCATCCTGTAGGGGTGGGCCGGTATCTTCCGTGTGTGTGTGGATAGGGTCCTATGGGCTTAGCTTCCAAGTTCTGTGTACTCTATCTGGGTCAGTATGCACTTATTGGAGGGAGGGTGTTTCAGTCCGGGGGGGGGGGGAGGAGAGTCACCCGGGTGTGGCTCCCTGATCTCTGCGGGTGGTAGCTGTGCCAAAGGTCGAGTGTCGTGAGTAGGGGGTGGGGCGGGATGGCGGTCGGGTAGTGAGGTGAGTTAGTGGGTATAGGTGGAGGGGGAGGGGTGCTGCCCCAGAGCCCCTGTGACTCGGCCTCTTGCCTGCTTCCACTAGGTGTTGGCTGGCTAAGGGTTTCTCCTGGTAGGCTTTTTAAAAGAGCCTTGCTGTTTGCGAGTTTATTTACTGGTGTCTAGTGGTGTTTCGGGGTCGTTCCCTATGCCGGTGTTCTCAGTGAATGAGGAGTACCTGTGTAACTGGGTTGGTTAACAAAGCCAAACCGCCACTTAGTGTATACTAGGGCGTCAGGGCAGTGTTCCCCCCAGTAGTCTATGTATACACAGGATTGGGTCGGGGTCGTGGCCTCCTAACCGTTTACGTCTTCCACTTAATATGTGGAGAGTTGGTTGAGGTAGAGATTGTGGTCTGGTATCGTCAGCCGTCCTGGGTCTCCCGTCTCAATTGCGTTCGGTTGTATTTGTTACGCTAAGTCGCTATATAAGTCTGGTCTTGGTTTGGGTGGTATGAGTTCTCCCCTCGTGTGCTCCCTGGGCTCTCCTCAGTCTTCCCAGGTGTGGTCTCATGGCGTCTTGTCTTTGTGATCACATGGGCGTTTGTGGTGGGTATACGGCTGAAGTGGCTCGTCACCATCATCTGCTACGTTCGGGTGGTCCCGTGAGCTAAGTCCTGACCAGTTGGTGGCAATGCTTCTCGTGAAGGGGGGTCCACGGGGGGGGGTGGTAGAGGTCTTCTATAAAATATTTGTCGTTTAGGCATTCTGCGGTGCATGGGGGTTGCCATTATAAGTACTGTTCCTAGCCCCCTGCCACCGCCAATTCCGCATTCGCTGCGGCCTACCCTCTACCTATGGCATCTCCTTTCGTCTATCGCCGGGTTTTGTAGCTACCAATTTCTCCCCTCGTCCAGCTCCGTCCCACCCATGTCTAATCGGGGCCTCCCCATTGACCTGTACACGTGGTGATTCATCCCATCCCCGTCTCTTTCTCAAACGGTATGGGTGTCCATATAGCTATATTATGCAGGTCTTTCGTGTTTAGGTAGGTTGTCACATGGGGCAGGTGTCTAGCGTCAGGATTTGAGTTGTGGTCAGGTCATCAGAGGAGTGGGCCCAACCTGCTGTGTGCTTGCCTTGTCAGAACGTGGTTCACCCTGCAATCAGTATGTGGGTCTTATACAATTCACTGAGTCTAACGTGCAACATTTGGGAACCTTATAACATTAAAACATTTAAACATTTTCCCCTTTTGCGCCCCCCAGTGCGCTTGTCCATTTGTTCGGATATGGGTAATGACCCAGAGCAGTGTCCCAACTCCATCCCTGCATCCCCTCCACCCTAAATGTAGTGTTATCCCGGTAGCCCCACATTAAGTGCGGTATTCCCCGACATTTAGTCCCAGGTTCCGTATGTGCGTGGTGGATAGCGTAGTACTTATCTGGGTACTGGGGATCACTTCCTGCCTCCGGTGTCGGTAGAGTCTGCAATCTTATTGGGCCCGCAACAGTCTATCCCGTGAGGGGGGTGGAGGGGTCCTCCTTGTTGGGGCGGGTGTGCCCCTCTGCCGTTATTCTTCCGGTTCTGCAGGGTCCAGGTGTCTGCGTGCAGTTGGCCGCCTCGGTGAGTCCCCTCTGCGGCGGCGCTGTGGTCTCGGTGTTGGAGGCCTTGGCCGTTGCTCTAGCGGTCCGAGGACCCAGTCCGTTATCTCCGTGGGCGGTAGTTCCAGGCGGTGTAGGAATCCCGGGCTTTCCTCCAGCCAGCGCAGGGATACCCATTCGTTCTGGTGTCTTGCGAGTAGGGCAAAGGGAAAACCCCACTTGTAGGGGATATTTCTCTCTCTGAGAAGGGCCGTGACGGGACGTAAGGCCCTGCGCGCTTCTAGCGAGAGCGGTGACAGATCTTGGAACGAGGCCACATCAGCTCCACGGAATCTCCACAGCGGTCTCGTGCGGGCTTTCTGCATTATTCGTTCCTTGTGCTTATAGTGGTGGAGGCAGCATATGTTGTCTCGTGGTGTGCCATCCGGTATCCTGGGCCTGTTTGCCCTGTGAGCCCTGTCAAACGTCAGGTCGGCAGGTAAGTCTTCCCCTAAGATGGCCTGGAAGAGGGCCTTCAGTGTGGCCTCAATATCTTCCTCCGCCCTGTGGTTCGGGTAGGCCGCGCACTCGGATGTTTGAGCGGCGGCCTCTATTGTCCAGATCTTCTGTTTGCCGTCGTAGGGCTAGCAACATGTTTCCCTGTCTGGTGACCGCTGTGGTTGTGGTTCCCGTTCTCCCCATAGCCTCCTGCATATTCCCCTCTAGTGTTTGCCGCTGTGTGCAGTCATTTCAGCCCTCAGGGCTGTTACCCCTAGGCGGATCGCCGCTTGGAGGTCCGTTTTCGTGACCATTTGTGCGGCCAGCGCTCTGATATCCGCACTGATATCTGTTAGTGTGGGGCCGGCTGTCTCTGGGGGTTGCACGTGGTGCGGCGAGTCGGCCATTGTTGTGCCTGCCTGCTCGCGGGATGCGGTTGCCAGAGCCTGCAGGTAATCGTCCATGGGACCTGCCTGGGAGCTTGTAAGGTTGCTCCGGGGTGTTTGGGAGCCGTCCGGGCGTTTTGTGCGTCCCATTTCCGACCCTACCTGCTCGTTTAGCGTGCTGAATTTAGCTTTGGGAGACGGAGCTCTCAGTTTAGGCTTCCATTCTCCTCGGTGTCCAGGCCACGCCCCCCCAGGTTTTTAGTCCAATACTTCCAAAACAGCCTAGTTATACATAAAATAGAATTGGTTCACTTCATGTTATTTAGAAAAATCCATAAACCCCCACAAGACCACAGAAATCAATTTGCTTGTATATTATTGTTCTATAGAGAAAACGCAGAACATGTTTCCAAATAAAATCTACACATATATTTCCCGAAAAATGCAAAGTTATGCACTTTGGGGTAAAGAATGTGCAAGCAATTTAGACCCTAAATGGTAGTGAATTAGGATTAACACGCAAGGAGGATTTGGGAATTGCTATAGACCACAAACTAGGCAACAATTTGCAATGTCAATCAGCCGTTGCCAAGGCCAGTAAGGCATTATGTTGTATAAATAGGGGCATTAATTCTCAGAATGAAAATATAATTTTGCCTCTTCATACATTACTGGTAAAATGACACCTTAAATATGCTGTGCAATTTTTTGAACCTTTTCTAAAGAAGGATGTTATGGCACCAACAGCTTTGCGACATGAAGACGCGCTGGTTGTTTGATACACTGACAAAAAAAATGTGTACATGCTCTCCACATTGCATGATCAGGGCCGGCCTTAGGGGTGTGCGAGCTGTGCGGCCGCACAGGGCGCCATGGGAGCAGGGGGCGTCATGCGGCCTACACAGCTCACACATGGCCACCGGGATTATAAAAAAAAAAGCGGAGCTAAACTGGCAGCGGGGGCAGGGTTAATAGTGCCAAGTAACTGCTGCAGGGGAAGCAGAAAGGAGTCCCTGCTTCCCCAACAACCAGTTTCCAGGAGCTGCACTGCCTCCACTCCTCCATACTGAATAGAGGTAGCTATGTGTGATCGTCTGCCTCCGTGTGTGTGGCTGTCTGTGTGTTTGACTGTCTGCCTGTGTGTGTGACTGTCTGCCTGTGTGTGTCTGCGTGTGTGTGTGTGCGCGCGTGTCTGTCTGCGTGTGTGTGTGTCTGTGTGTATGACTGTGTGTGTGTGTGGCTGTCTGTGTGTGTGTGTGATTGTGTGACTGTCTACATGTAAGTATGTGTGTGTAAGAATGTGTGTGTGGCTGTCTGCCTGTAATTTTGTGTAAGTGTGTTTATCTGCCTGTACCTGTGTGTTTCTGCCTGATCCTGTGTATGTGACTATCTGCCTGCGACTGTGTGCATGTGGTGGATTTGACAGTGAATATGTATAACTGTGTGCATCTGACTGTGGGACTGTGGGACTGTGTGCACATAACTCTGCAAAAATATACACCTGCATTCACACATAGGCTTAAATGCATATTTTTATCTGAATTAAATACCCATCACACACAGCCAATAAACCCAGCACAAATATCACACACAGCCAACACATAGCTTACATGTCACACACAGTCATCACACCTATCACATACACAGACAACACAAACATTACATCATATTATAGTGAGATGTATTACAGTGGAGCTCTGGTATATAAAATGCACATTACTCTGTGTTTTATAGTTGGGGATCTCGGTGATAAACTAATAGACACATTACTTAGTTGTATTGTTGTTTAGTGTATGATCTTGTCACAGAGCTCCACATTACTGGGAGTTCTATTGTTGTGGAGCACTGTGATAAATGGAGAAGTAGCGCATTACTACAAATTTTTATTCCAAAGAGGTCAAGGTAAATAAGTATAATCCAGAGCTCCAAAGCAAAACCACTCACAGTATTATGTGACATACTTAGTCTGCTCCTCTGTAACGTAGGGTCTGGCACTTCTGGCCTGCACTTCTGTTGGCTGCAGACCATAAGTAGCTGTCTTCCTAGCTCGGGATAATCAGAGCGCTGCCGCAGATTACCAGAGGACACTGGAAGTCCCTGAGCTTGTGAGACAGTTACGCATGGTCTGTACCAAGTGGAGGGGCAGACCAGATTCAGATCAGCATGCCCCTCTCCCAACTAGGTAACAACAGGAAAGGAGGAATTAATATTTGTTTTTAAATCATTATTAATTTAATAACTCCCCTATACAATCACTACACTCCTATACACACACACACTATACATGGATGACGGGGGCGAGGGGGTGCTGTGAAGATTTTTCGCACAGGGCGCTCAAAGGCCGGCCCTGTGCATGATGAAAGTAAAGTACCAGTGTGCATCAGGAGAGAGGATGCACAAATCCAAAAACCAAAGTGCACTGCTGAGTACAGCAAATATGTGTGTGGGGGGGAGTAGATTTTGTTGTTCATTGCATACAACCATGTCTGATTCACCAAAACCTGGTATAAAAAAATTGTACTGAATGCAGTGTGTAGTCTATAATTTGTACGTGCTGTACAAAAAAACACACAAAAAAAACCCAGGAGCTAATAACAAAGAACTGTATCCACTCTCAGCAACAAATTAATTTGATGAATGAAATAAAACCTGTTTTTAATCTAGTGTATGCAAAATCTATCACTTGCTTTTACCCAAGAAAAAAAGCAAGTAAATGATAGTTTGCAAACATGCATCCTACTGCAGGGCTTGACAAATTTGTTTGAAATCTAGGAGCTAGCTAAAAAAGTTAGGAGCCAGATTTTTTTAAAACAAGCGAAGTTTAATTTACGAGATATATACAATTTTTCTTAAAGGGACACTATAGTCACCAGATTACATTGCTGCCTAGTAACAACTTTAGTGACAGTCACTCAGACGCCACTCGACAGCCCTGTGTTAGTGCTGACAGTGTGCAGCGTCTCCACGCTCTGCATGGAGGTGTTGAATGTTATATATAGAAAACATGTGCAATATCCTCCCAATGCTTTCCCATAGGAAAGTATTGGTTTAGCGGAGATCTTAAAGATTGATTATCTCACCCATGAAGGCAGGACAAGCCGGGGAAAACTGACATGACGTGGGAAAGAAGGTGCGTAAAAACACCTCTCTCGTGATCGGCGGGGTGCAGGTACCTAAACAGACACAAGAAGACACTCTGACACTGAGACACACAAACACACTGACAGAAGCGCGCACACTGACGGAGACAGGGGCGCGCACACACTGACCGAGAGGCGCGCTCACACACACACACACACATACTGACGAAGAGAGACACACACTCTGACAGAGAGAGAAAGAGACACACACACACACACATTTTCCATTTTAATGTGAATCCACCCAGCCTCCTTACCTTTGGAAAAAGCAAAACTCAATCAAATGGATCCAATTTCACCCCACAGGGGCTCATTAAACTTGAGCTTATATAGAGGGAAAAGCCCCTATAAGGGATTTATGCATGCTTAGTCAGAATGCTCCAATTGGTTGTGTGGGAATTTTATTGTGTTGGCTTTTTTTATGTGATGTGATCTACTTTTTTTTATTTTATTTTTTTTAATTATTTAAATTTTTATTGTTTTCTCTCTTTGCAAACTGAATGTTTATATTGTACAACGAAATTAGATGTCATCTTTACACAGCATTAGTATAATTCAAAGTGTTTCCAGATAATAGTAACATACAGCATCTGAAAGTACATCAAGTTGCATAGGTGATACACAGTTATCATGGGGGAGGAGATATTAATCACTTGTTACACTAGGCAGTTGGAAGTATTTGTTGACTCTTTATCGCGTACATTGAATCCGCCATATGTCTCAACTGTACTTCTATGTCATGCAGGATTTGCAAAGTGACCGTGCTGTCGAATAAAGTGTATGCAAAATGTGGTACAATAACCAATGTAAAAGCAACCGTAGGAGTTAATTTTGGTAATTGATACTATCATACGATACAAAATAGTCACACAGTGAGTCGCAGGACTTTGGGTCATGGAGGTCTGGGCGTCTGGGAGTTAGGTTGGATAGGCCGACCTCAGTAAGGGTGTGGATGTCGGGACATCGTGGTCCTCAGTATGGGCCCTGGTAAGAGCCGTTGAGTGTTTCTTGATTTTGTAGGGCGTTTAGGTTCGTTAGTGCATACCTACTTAGTCACCTTGATTCGTCCAGGTCAGTTCCCGGTTCCCCCCGCGCACCCGGGCGCCCATGGTCCCCCCGGTGTCCCCCTCCCCCCACCTCTCATCCTCTGTCTCGGGAAGAGTAATGTGTATTGGCTATCGTGCCTCTAGTGTCATGAATGCATTCCACGGAGCCCAGGTTTTGGTGAATTTTGCGTAATTCCCTATTTTAGCTTGTACTGTTCCTTCTAATTGTTTCGTGTCCTCCACCCTTTGGATCCATTCCCTAAGGGAGGGAATGGTAGGCTGCTTCCAATATTTAGGAACCAGTTGCGCCGCAGCCATGGCCAGATGAAAGAAGAGTGCTGTATGTGGTTTTGATAGACCTTGAGGGGGTAATAGAAAAATGTATTGATCTGGCGCTAAAGGAAAGTTGGCCTGAAGTATGCTGAGAATGACCGTGTGAATTCTGTCCCAGAATTTCGCTATTTGCGGGCATTGCCACCATATGTGGGCATGGTGTGCTCCTGATTGCTCGCATCTCCAACATTTGTCTGTGGACGTGTTATGAATTGTGCGGATTCTCGCCGGAGTATAGTGCCAGCGTGTTATGCGTTTAAAATTACTCTCTTGTGCTGTCAACGATATAGTGGTCTTATGTGTTGCTTTAAGGATGGATTGCCACTGTGGTTGTGTAAACTCTCTTTTAAGTTCCTCTGACCATTTAGCTGTAAAGCTTGGTAGGTTAGGTGCTTGTGAATCCCTGATTAGTGTGTACATAGCAGATAAAACTTTCTTGGAGACCGGGTGAGTGGAACACAACTGTTCGAACTTTGTCAGGGGCCTGTCCCCTCCGGGTAGTAGGTTGTGCGTCTTGACAAAGTGTGTCAGTTGGTGGTAATGTAGTCATTGTAATATTGTCGGGGCGTCAGTCTGTAAGATGTGGTTCAGAGTTTTAACCCTACCATCTTGGACCACGTCACTCAGTTTTAGTGTCGAGCTTGTGTGATATAGCTCGAAGGATGTGCCTGAGTTCCCTTGTTGGAAGTGAGGATTATGCGTGATTGGGTATTGTGGGGATGGGGTTGGAGAAAGGGCTAGAGTTTGTCTAAGCCTATGCCAAATTTTGAGAGTTGTGCCAATTGTTGGGTGTCCCTGGTAAAGTTCCTTTCTGGGGGGGGGAGATTCGGGGTTCATCCAGACTCTGCTAGTTAATGGAATCCTAGAGAAGGCGGTCTCTAGCATCGCCCATTGATGGGTGTGTTCGTGTCTTGTCCATTCATAAACCCTCTGTAGGTGTATTGCCTGATGGTAGATTTCAATATCGGGGAGATTTACCCCTCCTCTTTCCTTAGTCCTAGTCAGGGTATTGTAGGCTAAACGAGTGTGCCCAGATATATTTCGTGAACATGGACCTAATCGTGTTAAAGAAAGCGCGAGGGATTGCGACCGGGAGAGTCTGTAGGAGATACATAATACGAGGTAGAATGTTCATTTTAAGTACATTGTTCCTGCATAGCCAGCCGAAGCAGGGCCTGTGCCATGTTTGGAGATCTTTGGTAATATCTGCCACTGGTGGAGGGAAGTTTAGTGTATAAATCGTCCCTAGTCTATTTGGGATGTGGACCCCTAAGTATTTAATTGATCGTGGTGCCCAATTGAATTTGAATTTAGACTGTAGTATTGAGTCTGTGGGTTTTGCGGTGTGTATTGGTAAAAGATCACATTTGGTTAGATTTGCCTGGAAATTGGAGACTTTCCCGTATGCTTCCATTTCTGCTATTACCTGGGGCAGTGTCGAGAGCGGGTTCGCAATTGTGAACAACAGGTCATCGGCAAACGCCGAGACTTTGTACTCATGCTTGTCTACTACATAGCCTCGTATGTTGTTGTCTCTAATGCCCTGGAGGAACGGTTCTAGGATTAGTATGAAAAGAATGGGGGAGAGAGGGCAGCCCTGTCTCGTCCCATTGGTGATGGTTACTGGATGTGAAAGCTGACCATTGACCCTAAGTCTGGCAGTCGGTGAGGAGTAAATTGCATCCAACCATTCTTGCCAGCGGGGGCCAAAGCCTAATTGCCTCATTGTTTGTTTTAAGAGTGCCCAGCTAACTCTATCGAATGCTTTCTCTGCGTCGATAGCTAATAGAATGCTTTCAATTTTGTGTGTTTGTGCCCAATGCACCAGGTTAATTATTTTAGTTGTGTTATGTTTTGCTTCCCTACACGGGACAAACCCCGCCTGATCTTTGCAAATTAGGCCCGGCAGATAAGGCTTCAGCCTGGTGGCCATGATTTTGGTGAGAATTTTTAAATCTGCATTTATCAACGAGATGGGTCTGTAATTGCCACAGGACGAGGGGTCTTTCCCCGGTTTGGGTATTAGGGTAATGGTTGCTTCTAGGGCTGACTTAGGTATTTTCGTCGATAGCTTGTGGTCATTAAATGCATTCACAAAGGGCTGCGCTAGTGTTTGGGCTAATAATTTGTAGTATTTCCCAGTGAATCCGTCTGGGCCTGGGCTTTTACCTATGGGGATGGTCTTAACCACCTGTTGAAATTCTTCAACCGTTATGGGTTCATCAAGGAAAGCCCTGTCTATAGATGGCAGTGTGTGTTTTATTCTGGGTGCTAAGAAGTCTATTATGTCTTGTGTGGTTGGTTGGGTGGATTTCAGGTTATATAGGTGAGTGTAGAATTTATGGAATGCTTCCAGTATGTCTGGCATGTGGCATGTGGTAGTACCGTCCTCCGTTTTGATTTCGGAGATGAAGCTGGATTGTCTGACTGCCTGTAGTGTTTGCGCGAGCAGCTTCCCCGCTTTACCTCCCTGTGCGTAGTATGAGCTTTTTGTGAGCAAGAGTTTCCGTTTAGCATGTAATGTCAGGAGTGTCGTTAGTTCCGACCTTTTATTGAGTAGGAGATTATAGTTTTCAAGAGAGGAGGTACCCTGATGGGAAGTTTCCATAGCTTTTATGTCTTTAGTTAGTTGGATGATCGTTTGTTCCCTCTTACGTTTGAGTGTCGATGCTAATCGAATCAGTTCACCCCTAAGGACTGCCTTATGAGCCTCCCATGTCATAATCGGGGTCGTGTCCTGAGTGGAGTTTTCTTTAAAGTAGTTTGTGGCGGCTACTTTTATTTGGTTGATGGCCTCCTTATTATTCAATATTAGGTCATTGAGTTTCCATTGGGCTGTGGGGTTAGGCATGGAGGGTATGGACAGCCTAAGTGTGAGTGGCGCATGGTCCGACCACGTGATTGGTCCGTATGAGGCCGTGTTGATCAAGGGTAGATGTCTGTGGTGGAGGAAGATTGTGTCGATACGTGAGTAGGTACCCGTGGGTGCGGAGTAGAACGAATAGTCTTTTTTCGTGGGGTTAACTGCTCTCCAGCTATCATATAGTTGGGCATTGTGCAGTGTGTTTTTCATTTGTAATCTTGACTGTGTTAGGTAACTCTGGGAGGCAGAGGTAGTATCTAGGTCTACATCTAATGAGATGTTGATGTCTCCCCCTATTATAAGAATCCCCTCATAGAAGTTGTTTAATTTGCGCAGTATCTTGTTGAGGGCGTGAGATTGTTTCTTGTTGGGCAAATAGATGTTTGCTAGAGTGATTTGGGCGTTCCCTATTTTCCCTTTCACGAAAATGTACCTGCCTGCATCATCTACCTGTTGATCCTGGTGTGTGAATTGCGTCTGTCGGCTCACTAATATAGCCACCCCCCGTGCCTTAGCTTCTGTGTAGTGGCTGAAGTATCCTCTCGGATAGTCCCTGTTTTGGAGTCTAGGGGGGGCATCCTTACGGAAGTGTGTTTCCTGCACGAAAACAAAGTTCGCCTTACAGGGAGTGCCGAATTATTAGGCAAATGAGTATTTTGACCACATCATCCTCTTTATGCATGTTGTCTTACTCCAAGCTGTATAGGCTCGAAAGCCTACTACCAATTAAGCATATTAGGTGATGTGCATCTCTTTAATGAGAAGGGGTGTGGTCTAATGACATCAACACCCTATATCAGGTGTGCATAATTATTAGGCAACTTCCTTTCCTTTGGCAAAATGGGTCAAAAGAAGGACTTGACAGGCTCAGAAAAGTCAAAAATAGTGAGATATCTTGCAGAGGGATGCAGCACTCTTAAAATTGCAAAGCTTCTGAAGCGTGATCATCGAACAATCAAGCGTTTCATTCAAAATAGTCAACAGGGTCGCAAGAAGCGTGTGGAAAAACCAAGGCGCAAAATAACTGCCCATGAACTGAGAAAAGTCAAGCGTGCAGCTGCCACGATGCCACTTGCCACCAGTTTGGCCATATTTCAGAGCTGCAACATCACTGGAGTGCCCAAAAGCACAAGGTGTGCAATACTCAGAGACATGGCCAAGGTAAGAAAGGCTGAAAGGCGACCACCACTGAACAAGACACACAAGCTGAAACGTCAAGACTGGGCCAAGAAATATCTCAAGACTGATTTTTCTAAGGTTTTATGGACTGATGAAATGAGAGTGAGTCTTGATGGGCCAGATGGATGGGCCTGTGGCTGGATTGGTAAAGGGCAGAGAGCTCCAGTCCGACTCAGACGCCAGCAAGGTGGAGGTGGATGAGCTTGTGGGGCCTTTTCGGGTTGAGGATGAAGTCAAGCTCAACTCCCAGTCCTACTGCCAGTTCCTGGAAGACACCTTCTTCAAGCAGTGGTACAGGAAGAAGTCTGCATCCTTCAAGAAAAACATGATTTTCATGCAGGACAATGCTCCATCACACGCGTCCAAGTACTCCACAGCGTGGCTGGCAAGAAAGGGTATAAAAGAAGAAAATCTAATGACATGGCCTCCTTGTTCACCTGATCTGAACCCCATTGAGAACCTGTGGTCCAACATCAAATGTGAGATTTACAAGGAGGGAAAACAGTACACCTTTCTGAACAGTGTCTGGGAGGCTGTGGTTGCTGCTGCACGCAATGTTGATGGTGAACAGATCAAAACACTGACAGAATCCATGGATGGCATGCTTTTGAGTGTCCTTGCAAAGAAAGGTGGCTATATTGGTCACTGATTTGTTTTGTTTTTGAATGTCAGAAATGTATATTTGTGAATGTTGAGATGTTATATTGGTTTCACTGGTAATAATAAATAATTGAAATGGGTATATATTTGTTTTTTGTTAAGTTGCCTAATAATTATGCACAGTAATAGTCACCTGCACACACAGATATCCCCTAACATAGCTAAAACTAAAAACAAACTAAAAACTACTTCCAAAAATATTCAGCTTTGATATTAATGAGTTTTTTGGGTTCATTGAGAACATGGTTGTTGTTCAATAATAAAATTAATCCTCAAAAATACAACTTGCCTAATAATTCTGCACTCCCTGTATGTCGTTGGAAGTCAGTTAGTGCTATTGTCCTTTTTTCTGGGATATTTAGTCCTTTAGCATTTTGGGAGACGACTATTATGGTGGACATCTCTGCCGTGTGTTTGACTCGTTTGGGGCGAAATTAGGCGGAGCAGTGTGTTGCTTATGTTCAATGGGTTGTGTTGTATGAGTGAGTTGGAGCCTCTGTCAGACTTACCCCGTGAGAGTTTCAGGGAGTGTGTGGGGCAATGGGTGGTGCCTGTTACCTCGTTCCAGGACGTGTCAGCAGAGAGAGTGGGGTTCCTCCCAGGCCCACCCTGGGCGCCCGGTTGCGCAGCCAACCCAGTCCTCCCAGTTGTGGTCCGGTCTTAGTCTTAGAGGAGTCTGTGCTTGGTTTAAGCGTTCGTTTTGGGTCCTTCGTCTGGTACCACTTAATCCTTAATGCATATACAATACAAGATATAAGTGAAATTAAAAGTAAACAACAATGTCAATAACAAGATAATTGAAACAAAGCAACTAGGGTGTTCCCTGTATTTGCTATATCATTAGTGCTGTATTATCCCTATACATCCACTCGAGATGGTTATATTATTACAAGATATGTGTCTGCGTGAATTGTGTGATGTCTATCTAGGGGAGTATACTCCTTATTGTTCAGTGCTACTAGGGGTGGCGTATAGACGTTCTCCTCCAGGGGAGGGTGTGATAATGTTTCCCTTAAGGGGAATTTAGTCCTGTCTCGTCTCTGGAGACAGTACCGTGTGAAAAATGGGGTTGTGTGCGTCGGGTATATACCTAGGACCCGGGACTTATTGATCCTATTCACTTAGTATACCTTTAGGAGAAGAGGTCCTGAGACCTATTTCTTGGGGCGTGTGCGATATGTGGGTACAGGGAAGTCTATCTAGGGGAGTCAGTCCCCAAGCCGATTCCGGCTTGAGGAGGACGTACCAGCTACCCAGGAGCCCCTCCCTCAAGTTTGTATTATATCTCGACCTTATTGTTACGTAGTGGTCACTTAGTTATCTATGTACATGGTTTACCTTTTTTTTTTTTTTTTTATATAATTAGTATAGAGATCCCTTCTAGTTGCTATCATCTCTGCACTTTAATACTCGGGGCCGACTCTTGTGTCTAGATATGCCTATGGTTTGACCTTATCTATCTTTAGCGGCTAGCCCTGGCTTCAAATGGCTCCCCTATGGTTAAGTCTCGGTGTTGCTTCTGATATCTTAATATGCAGTGATCGCTTTTAGGATCTCTGAACAGGGGGTATAACGGAGTCATCGCTTAGGTACTAAGCTCGACCTAACAACTCTCAGTGTAGAAAATAGGCAGTTATTTGAGACATAAGTAAAACCATGCTATGTGTGTCGTTAGGCTTGAGAGGCTCAGTTCATTATCTACAATGTCTTTGCGTATACGACCTGCGGAAGAGATATCAGTCTCTTTTCCGATTTGGAATGTCAAACATCGAGTCGCCCCAAACATCTCTTAACTTGCTGTGGTGGAGGCTGCCAGGGACCTGGCACGTATGCAGGTTAAGGGGTCCCTTATGTTGGTTGACTAGGTGTAGGGAAGAGATTGAAGTTGCAGTGTCTCGTGAATGTGGACAAAACTCCTGGAGAAGCTGGTAGCGCCCTCTGTCACTTCAGGTGTCGGGATGCATGTGGGTGGTCAACTTGTGTAGCCGCTTTAGTCGGTTGGATTTGTTCTTTATTGGTTTTGGGCGACGTGATGTCTTTCCCGGCGGTGATGAGGTGAGAGGAGTCTGTTCTCCGCCCTCCTTGTCTTCGCAGGGGTGGTCCATTTCTGCCTTTGGGAAAGTTGAGTGGTTTCATTGTTCGGTATGGGGTAGTTCCAGTCCAATATCGCTGTGTCTGGCAAGTCCAATGCCCTGAGGAAGGGGGGGACATCCAAGATTGAGGCAATTTGATGGATGTTGCCCTTGTTATTCACTATTAGGGCGAATGGAAAGCTCCATCTGTATCTGATATTTCTGTTTCGTGGGATCTCAGTGATTGGCTTCAGTGCCCTTCTCGCCTGTAATGTGTACCAGGAGAGGTCTGGGTAGATCTGAATTGGGTTCTCGTGAAAGAGGAGCGGTTGTGAGGTGTCTCTCAGTGCTCTCAACACCTGGTCTTTGGTTGTATAGTAGTGTAGCCTGCAAATGACATCTCTGGGGGAATCTTGCGGTAGCCCCTTAGGTCGGAGTGAGCGATGAGCTCTGTCTATGAGCATTTGGCTGGTACCAGAGTCTCCTAATACAAGAGTAAAGAGCTCTGTCAAAATGGCTGTTAAATCCTCATTTTGGGCCTCTGGGATCCCCCTTATGCGTAGATTGTTTCTTCTCCCGCGGTTATCTAGATCATCTATATGTCTTTGGGTGGCAGACATAAAGTGAATGTGTGATTCTAAGGTAGATGATATATTTAATATCTGTGCTTGCATTGCATCCTTCTCCTCTTCTAGGTCTGTGACCTTTAAATTCATTTGTTGAATTTCTGTGCCCATTTCTGTTAATTTTGTGTGGAGGGTTGCCTCCAATTTCCCCATCATATTCTGGAGGTCATCTCTAGATGGAAGATTCCTCAGCATCTCTTTTATTTCTAAATCCCCACTGTTTTCTATTGATTTTAGCGAGTACTCTGACATGTGGGGGCTTTGTGGCTGCATTTCCTCTGTGGGATCGGCATCCGCCATTTTGGAGGTCGCGGCCGCGGCCTCCAAATCCCGATCGATATTATCCTTAAAATATCGGGTGAGGGAGCCCGATTTGGGTATGGGGGTTCTCCCCTGTTGCCCCTGTACCTGTGTGTGCCGTTTGGGATTGCCCATCGCGCTGTATTTTCTCCGATGGCGGCGGATCGTGCCCGGGTCTGGAGGAGCTGATTCAGCAGACGTCCATCAGGCTTCCCGGCTAGCCACGCCCCCGTGATCTACTTTTTTATATTAATAGTTCCGTTATGTCATCTTGGAATTTGATGGAAACATTCCCTCTTGTTATTTTACTTTCTAGTGACTGGATAGCAGTGGCTGCCCAGTTGCTAGTTTTTATCTTTAGTATTTGACATGACATGCGGCAGGTGGGGGCATATGGGAGTTTTTTTTAATTAATGTAGAGATTGATTAGCAAGGTTTTTGTCAACCCTCATGCTGTTGAGGGTTATATTGTTAACTATTTGCCTGTTGGCTGCTATCACTGCCAGCGGGACATAGAGAATAATGGTTGGCTGACATTCGGTGACCAACGAACATTTTCACTGACGTTCAGCTGAAATATAGACATTAGAAAGTCCGTCAAACTGAAATTTTGTACGGGTACATGTCTATTCATATATAAACCATATAAATTTATTGTCAAAAGAAATCTTTATTTGTCCTTAACAAAATTATATAAAAATAAGTGTGGGTGCACTTAAAGTGAAAAGGGTAAATAATTTTTTAACAAACCTGTAGCTCAAATTCTACGTTTTGTTTTGATTCAGAACTTGGACAATTGCCACCATCCTTTGGGGTTTAATCAACATGTCATTCACAACTTTTCATATATTTTTGAGGCATGGAGGACATGCATTTCAATTAATACCATTCTACTCTTCCAGCTGTGAATACCACCTGAAATTCTGATGCACAGTTGAAACTATTGAGACACACCAATATCTTGAAATCCTTTCTTGTTCCTAATTTGTGAAACTGGCAGAGAAAAGAACTCAAAATGAGTGTGACACTATAGGATGAAACAGAAGAAAAGCAAAGATTATTCAAGATCACACACTTTACTATAATTACAGCCAGGGCCACCACCAGAAATTTTAGGGCCCCTAAATCCGCTCAGGGTCTGGGGCCCGCCTCCAAATCCCGCCCACAGGAATACACACACAGACACAAAAACACACACTGATACAAAAGGACACAGATACACACAGATACATACTAACAGACACACATAATGAAACAGGCATACATACTGACAAACACATACTGAGACATACACACATATACAGACACACAGACATACATAGTGACAGACACATACTAACATGCATGAGGACATACACATACATACACCGACATACATACACACAGACATTCATTCATACTGGCATATAGACATACATTCATACATACAGACACTGACATACAGACATACATTCATAATGGCATACATTCATACTGGCATAAATGCATATATACAGACATACATACATTCATACATGCATACTGACATCCATACACACATACACACAGACATACGTTCATAATGACATGCAGACATACATTCATACTGACATACATGTATACATACAGACATACATACATAATGACAGGGGTCCTCAAACTTTTTAAACAGGGGGCCAGTTCACGGTCCCTCAGACACTATTGGGGCCGGACAGTAAACAATATGAACGAATTCCTATGCACACTGCACACACACACATAAGGACATAAATACACACACACACTGACATACAGACATATGCATACATACACACAGACATACATACTGACATACATACATACTGACATACATACACACATACATGCTGACATACATACTGACAAACACACATACATACATACTGACACACACATACATAGATGCATACTGACATACACATATACATACATACATACATAGATAGATACATACAGACATACTGACATACACACATACATACACAAATACAGCAAATTTTGCGTACCTTTTTTTTTGCAGGTGGAAGGCTGTGGCTGATGAGAGTCGGCGTGGCTCCCGCGGCCTGACTTTCTTCCCTCCCGCGCGGTGCGGAGGGGAGGGACCTGGGAGGAAGTGACGGCCACTTCCTCCCAGTAGTACTTTGTGGCTGCACTATTGCACGGCCGCAGCGCTAACCGGGCCCCTGAAGATATAGGGCCTATCGGGCGGCCCTAAGTGCATGAGCCACCCAATAGGCCTCAACAGCGTGCGGACCCCGGTGCAACTGCACCGATGGCAGTTCTGCCGCTACACGTGGGGCCTGGGCGGCCCGGACCGTGACGGTGACAATCGTCATGGTTGTCACACCCTGATGGCGGCCCTGATTACAGCTACAACAGCTAATCAGAATTCAAAGGAAAACCAACATTTTTAATGACCTCACTAATTCCAGCTGCTGTTTTAGAAAATATTGATTGCATTTCTTCATCAAAAATCTATTTTGTCATGTACCGAATTAATATACAGAGAAAAACGTGGAGGACAGAGTCCACTACTGCTAAGTGTAAGCGATGGATATGTGTGACTGTGTCTATAGCCACCCATTCTTAAATGAATTTGCAGTATCCTCAGTGCATAGGATGTCTGGTGTTTGAGATTCTGATTAAGGCTGCATTTGCAGCCTCTTGCTACCATCTGTATGGGTAGTAACCTTTATAGTATTTCCAGTGCCAAGGAGCACCAACGATATACTGGTAGATATTCTTTAAAGTATAAAAAGAATGAGCAGCACTTCAAAACAGGAGTTCATAATTTTTGGCATGATAGCGGCGCTTTAAGCTTTTATAGAGCATTTCATTGGAATTTATCCATTAAAGTGAACCTGTTAAGAAAAAAGTAACTTACCTTAAATCGTCCCCAAATATTTTGAATAGAAGATATACTCACCTCTGTTCCAGCACCGCCATCTTCATGGGTGTTACTCTTTGTGTAACAAACACCTGTGGCCCATCCTCAGCTCATCCTCTAGTCTTCTTTCATTAACCCTACTTGGGAACGCTTCCCCAAGCAGGGCAAACCTCAGTGATGCTGAAACGCTCCTTCATTTGCCAGATTTGGAATATACAACCTAACCAGCGCTAGCAACAGCAACCACAGCGCACAGGAGAATGACCACCTCTGGGAGGTCTTTTCTGCTTTCTTTTGTCAGTTAAATTTTCGGCATAGAGTCTATGCTGAAGATTTGACTGAGAAGTGGGAGAAATAGCTATTTTTAAAAATCTGCTAGCACAGTGTAGTGAGTGAAATTTAATACTTACGTAGTTTGGGGCATGACCAGTTTAAAAACAGAAATGTAATGAGTTGAAGCAAAATTAAACATTTCTTCAAATGTACGTGATTTGGAAAATTGATCCATATTGACTATAGTCCTAGTTTGACTGTAATGGGTTACCTTATATAATTCCGTGTTTAGGGAATAAAACCCAATGAGCTCTTAGTCAGTTATGAAGCAGGGTATAAATCACTCTCTAAATATTTTACTCAGTTTCTGGATTCATGTACTAAATATACTTCTAGCAATGAATACAGTGAATGTTCTGTTGTTTTTCTCAGTGTTACAATTACACCAGCAATGTTTCTTATTTGATATTGTGAGACCAACTTGCAGAACTGTGGAGACATTGCTATTGCATTCTAAACTACTTGCGAAAACCAAGCAAAACATTTTGAAAAACAATTTTTACTTCAGTGTGTAATTTAGTAAATAGAAAACCACATATAAAACTGAAGAATATCTACTTTGATTTGCTGGATTTATGAATATAGTTTTCCTTTGCTTAAGGTTGGCAATCACCGTAGAGTCAGGTTGACTTAAAGTGGCTCTGTCACCTTAAACTTACCTTTCCCATATTGTTTACTATTACAGTATTTTTCAGAATCTGTTCATCTTTTTTTAATGTCTAATCTTTTTTTTTATTTAAATACACAAAACAAAGTAGGAACTACTTTGTCTTATGTATTTTTCCTACACCAGGCAATTGTGACAAAATGGAGGAACCTAAGGCAAGCTTCACTTCCTTTGTTAAAGGGACACTATAGTCACGAGAACAACTACAGCCTATTGTATTTGTTCTGGAGAGTATAATCATTCCCTTCAGGCTTTTTGCAGTAAACACTGCCTTTTCAGAGAAAATGCATTGTTTACATTACAGCCTAGGCATAATTCCACTGACAACTCCTCAGATTGCTGCTAGAGGTGCTTTCTGGGGCAGTGAAGATGCTGATTGGCCAGGGCTGTATTTGGCTTGTGCTGACTCTGCCCTGATCTGCCTCTTTGACAAGCTCAGCCAGTCCAATGCTTTCCTATGGTAAAGCATTGTGATTGGTTTTGATTAACACTTCTGATGATGTCAATCAAGCAGACAGAACAGGGGCAGAGCTAGCAGCAGTAGACTGAAATAAAGGCAATATTTTACTATAGTTAGTGGGGCTAGATGGTGTTTTTAGCACGATAGGGTCAGGAATATGTGTTTGTGTTCCTGACCCTATAGTGTTCCTTTAAGCTGACATAAACTTTGAAAAGTATGTTGTAATAAATGCTTATAAACTTGGGCACGCCTATGAGCTAGGGGAGTTTCTTCAGCCACCCACCTCATATCTCCATTTCAGACCAGTACACTAATGATAGAAACAGGGCATTATTGGGCAGCAGCAGGAGAGTTAAACCTGTCAGTAGAGCCTGCTCTGCATGATTACACTGTTTAGACTCCCTGTCTTCTCCCCCCTGTCAAGATTCTGCAAGGTAAAGAGATGTTCCAACTTCACATGTGTAAATCTGTCAGACATGCCCGATTCACTGTTCCAGCATTTGTAGGGATAGGACACTTATTTGTAAGATCAATGTCCCTCTTGGAGTGGGGGTGGAAAGCATAAGAAGGAAGAAGCAGCTAAATATGAAAAAAATTTACCTGCTTTTTTCAGCCTGCAGAGTGAGGCAACTGCGTCATTCAAAGCTAAAGCTTTTGATAGAGACAGCTGTCTTAAAGTGATTCATGTCCCTTTAAATCAATGCCCTTGACATTAACATATCTGCAAATCAATGACATTTCAGCTTCTTTTCCACACAGCTAACAACCATAAGACAATAAAAAAAAACCCTAGTTGTTTGTCCTTAAAGCTGTATTCCTGACACTATCGCTCCCCCTGCTCCCTCTCTCCCTCGCGTCCCTTCCCCGGTAACTAAAGGGTTAAAAATCCTTTATTTACTTGCCTTATCACAGCGCCGATGTCCCTCGGCACTGGGTCAATGCTTTGCCCCCTCCGACATCCCTTGACTAATGGGTGCTATAGACCTCCCCATCAATGCTTTCCTATGGGGGAAATAAATCTGACACTGGATGTCCTTACGCAGAGCGTGAGGATGTCCAGCGTCTGATACCAGACCAAAGGTCCATTTTGATCGAGGAAGCACTCTGGTGGATATCTGGTAGACAACCAATGGAGGCAGATTTAGAGCTGCAATGTAAAAATGCAGCAGGAAGTACAAAAGGGGCAGTGCACCCAGACCACTTCAATGAGCTGAAGTGATCTGGGTGCCTATATTGTCCCTTTAAATATATTTGTCATTCTTGTGGGCATAATAGAGAATTCTGCATTGGCAAACTGTAGAGAGATAATACGTTAAAAGATTACCACTAGCAAGGTGGACTAGCACTAAACATTTTTGTAGTCACTTGGGATAACAATACTTTGGTTCTGGGAAAAGGATGAGCCCTGACCTTTGAAAGACGGCTGCTGGACTCATGCCAGCATCTTCCCCATGTTTTCGTCTCCCAGTTCTCTCTGTCTCTTTCTTTTGTTATCATCTTTCCACTTTAATGATTTTACTTTGGTTTTCTCGATTGTTCCAATGACGTCACAGATTTTTCCCAGACACCTTAAATCATGTTTTACCTTCTTTTATTTTTTTGTTTGCTTTGTATAATGTTCAGTAATAAGAGTAGAGTCGCATTAAAAAACTAGGTTTTACTTAGTTTTTAAATGCAACTCTACTCTTGTTACTGATTTTCTAGTTTTCCTCTGCAACTATATGAGACCAGTAATCACCAAAACGACATTGATTTCCAAAAAAAGAAAAACGTTTTTTCTAAAATAAATCTAGTCTCATACACTCTATTATTTGGTCATAATTTTGCTACAATAATATAAAAAAGGTACAAAAGATAGAGCAGGTTTAGCGCTAATCATCCAGATAAGGCAGGACAGCAAACAAAAAAAAAGGGGTCCCTCCAACCCTTTTCAGAATTAACAGAAAAAAAAAATACAATAAAATACTGTTGTCAGTAATCAAATGCAATAGTCCAAAATAGAAAAGGAATACCCCTTTAAATGCAATATGAGTTCTTGGGTAAATCCTTTGCTTCCCTTTGATAAAGCCCTATGTGGTGAAACACGTTATGGAAATTATTACTTTCTTGTTTTTTTTTTATCTAATAAAGGATTTTTTGGTCACTATACTTGTGTACTGTGCCAAATTACCTGTTTTAGATTAATTTATTTCAGGGCTTGACAAATCCAAGGCGCAAGGTCGACTTAGAATTTTGTCCTGGTATCTGGAATTGGTCGGCCCGTTCCCTCCCTCTCGCAGGTGAATTGCAAGCTTGAAGGGCAACATTTGAAGACTGCCAGCTTGCCGCCCGCCCACCCACATTGCGCAAAGGTGGTCTGCCCGCGTTCATTCCACAGAACCTGCCCGGCTGCTTTCCTCAGAGATGGCCCAGCTGCCCGCATCCCTCAGAGCCGGCCTCCAGCCCGCACCTTTACACAGAGCAGGCTGCCCGCCCTTTCCCCTGTGCGCCGGGAGGTAGCCCACATGCTTGGAATTGGTCGGCCCGTTCCCTCCATCCTCCCGCAGGGGAATTGCAAGCTTGAAAGGCAGCATTTAAAGACTGCTAGCTTGCCGCCCACCCACATTGCGCAAAGGTGGTCCGCCCGCTTCCATTCCACAGAGCCGGCTCGGCTGCTTTCCTCAGAGATGGCCCAGCTGCCCGCATCCCTCAGAGACGGCCTCCAGGCTGCCCCTTTACGCAGGGCCGGCTGCCCGCCCTTTCCCTGCGTGCTGAGAGGAAGAAATTACAGTTCCCTTCACTTCCTCCCGATGCACAGAGATCTGGACAGGGGTTGAGTAGACAGGAGAGTCTGGAACAGCAGCAGTTGCAGCCGCAGCCAGCCCCCACTAACCTATTGTCATTTGCTCCTGCCCAGTCCCACTGGACCCCAGGGAAGCCACCCCACTGAGCCCAAAAGGTAGGAAACAGGAGGGTGACTAAAAATATGTATTTTTATTTAATTTGTGTGTGTATATCTGTTATGCCTGTTTGTCTGTGTGTATCTATGACTCTTTGTGTGTGTGTGTGTGTGAATGTATCAAGTAATACTTTGTGATTGTGTGTCTCAGTGTGTGTGTCAGTGTGTTTGTGTCTGTATGTGACTGTGTGGGTGTGTCCGTCCGTCCGTCCGTCTGGGTGTGTGTGTCAGGGGGTGTGTGTGTTGTGTCTGTCTGGGTGTGTGTGCGTTTAAGTCCCCTCTGATCGCATGGGAATGGTGTTGTTACTTACCTTTTTTCCAATGCTATGCCAGTCTCGCTGTAGCTGGCTAGCCTCCATAGCTAAGATTATCAATTACCAATCAGCATCTCCTCATAGAGATGCAATAAATCAATGCATCTCTATGAGGAACATACAGTGCCTCCATGCAGAGCCTGAAGATGCTGAATGTAAGCAGGAGACCCTTCAGTGGCCGTTTGAGTGACGGCTATTAGAGGTGTTACTAAGCAGCAATGTAAACACTGCCTTTAATCCTGAAAAGGCAGTGTTTACTTTGAAAAGCCTGCAGACACCATCTATAGACACCAGACCACTACATTAAGCTGTAGTAGTTCTGGCGAGTATAGTGTCCCTTTAAGAATTGTATTTTTGTCATTGGGATAAAAACTGGCTCCTAACTTTTTTTACTAGCTCCTAGATTGAAAGCAAATTTCTCAAGACCTAATTTATTTTATCCTATTTACTTCCTGGCTTCCTGCCTACTCCAAAGAAATCCTAGGTGGGGATCATACCACCAGCGCCTTATCCATAGAGCAGTTTGCCTGCTCTATATTTGTAAGTATTCACTACAATTATTATTTTAGCTTTTTTTTTTTTTTTATTGCAACAGAGAGCACTATTATCTGCCTTTTTATATTCTTGGCATTTTTGGTTCAACAAAACTACCTCTCCTTTGGATACTTATCCACATATCACATATCCCGTAAGTAGGTATTATACCACTGTACACTACTACAATTGGAGCTGGTCAGAGCTCCATTAAATGTGAGTAGGATAGCGCTGTTTTATTATATACACCATGCCTATATTGATTTATTGCACTATTGGATTTCCTGTTCTTTCTGTTTTACATATCTTTATGGATCTTACCAAGGAACCTACTTTCCAGTAGAAGAATCTACCATCTACCCAAGAACTTATATTGCATATAAAGGGGTGTTCCTTTTTTATTCTGGACTATTTCATTTGATTACTGATAACAGTATTTAATTGTATTCTTGTGGCGCAATAATATAAGCAACAATGAATATATAAATGTTTCACTTTCAAATGTATTTTTTTTTTAGTGTGAACTTGAGAAAGCTGTGGAAAATGCACAAACAACAAAAGATTCTATTGTATTACTTGAAGAGAAAATAGAAAACTTGGAGCAGGAAGCATCAGGAAGTGATACGATAAATGTATGTATAAATTATATATGCTATTGTGTTTTAACATAGAAGAAATAAATAAAATAAACCCCAATCTTTTTTTCTAATTTATGCTCCTCAGGTGATAGCCTCAAAGTCAGATGGATTGCAGCTTCCAAAAGTTTCATATGAAGTTCCCACCATGCAAGTATGTAAACTATGTCTTTGCTTCACAAATTGCCTATACTTTGTGTTTCTGATTATTTACATTTTTTAATTTGTGTAGTAAATCTGCAGTTCCACCACATTATAATTCCCCTCCTTCCTTGTCGATTGAAAGCAAGACTAGCTAGACACCTCTCCTCCTCCTCCTCCTCTCCACACACACACACACTCCCAAATAGTGCTAGAGCCCACTGCCTTGGTGTATCCACATGTATTATGCTATTTATTACAAAGTCTTCATAACTTTGGGTCATACCTATTAGCACTACGCAAATAAACATACAAACACGACAAAGTTATACATCCCCTGTTGTATTGTTCCGAGGAATCATTTTGTGCCGTTTGTTAGAATTGTCCTATTCTGATTTGGACGCCATTTAGGTTTACATTTTGAAAGGAGCAGGCCTTCTTTAAAGTTTATTCTTTCATAATTTCTTTCTTGTAGGAAAATTTTCAGAATTTGAAAAATCCCTCTATGCTGTTGAAAGAACTTCGTGTGATACAGTCTACTCCGGTTGCTGTTGATCTGTGCAGAATTATTGAGAAATCCTATTCTGTAATAGATGCCATGTGAACAGAATCACCATATGCACACATTTTAAGTCTGCTACTTCTGTTTTTTTCTTTCATAATTACTGAGTCTGTTGCCTGTGAGTGCCTGGGATTGGCTACAATATTTTAACCAGTTTCTGGTTGAAACATATATCACAGGAGAAATATGCATGACCAATCGTTGCTGCAGTAGAGAGGTAGCTCTTTCTCTATATTATCTACATATTTCATTAAAAGGGTTTGCATATCTATATTGATTGGAATGTCACTTTCATGTGTATTTTACACACTAAACGTTGTTAAAATCCTCCCTGGAGTGACTTTTAAAATATATATATTTTTTTTTATGCTACATTACCTGCATATTTTCGCAGTTTTTACCTATTTAAATTGTTAGATTTTTAGGATTTTCAAACCTTTTTTTTTATTCTGAGTGTCTATTGAAGTAAACCAATAGCGTATACAAATGAGTAGAAATGGTAAAAATGTATTTATATCCTTGATATAAATGTATCAGCTAGTCAGGTCCTTACCCCCCACAAAGAAAGGTAGGAAGGATCCAAAACTGCTGGGTATTAGTCTAGTAGAGGTTCTATAACTTATAAAATGAGGAACCAGTACACATTATAATCTTAATATAATATCAGAATATAACAAAATGAAAAAGATATTCTTATCCCACAAGGGGTTAAAATCCTTAAGTCAATTATATAGTGCAGCAGACAGTGTACCGATTAAAATATTTATTAGTACAAATAAACTGTCAACCAAACACACATATACATAAAAGACTAATATATTGCAGAGATCCCAGATGTGCAAGCAATAGATATCAGATTTACAGACTGGGAGTCCAGCGATGTTAGTGTGACTCTCTTGCTGGCTGGGTAGGAGTGTTTCAGGACCCCCTCGTGCTGCTACAACACTCAATATCGACCACGTGCGTTCCACTGCGGCTCTGAATGCGTGAAGATGCTGCCTAACGCGTTTCATGATTAACAATCACTTCATCTGATGAGGACAGCTTGCTCTTGGCTTGGTAGGTAATCAGCTTGGAGTATATAAGCCCTGTTAGCAGTTATTTTGGATTTTAGTTCAAATTAGCAGGAGCATGACTTAAGGATTTTTACCCCTTGTGGGATAAGAATATCTTTTTCATTTTGTTATATTCTAATTTTATATTAAGATTATAATGTGTACTGGTTCCTCACTTTAGAAGTTATAGAACCTCTACTAGACTAATACCCAACAGTTTTGGATCCTTCCCACTTTTCTTTGTGGGGCGTAAGGACCTGACTAGCTGATACATTTATATCAAGGATATAAATACATTTTTACTATTTCTACTCATAATTTGTATATCCATTTCCTCTGAGTCCTGTCTACGCTATTGGTTTACTTCAATATACACTCAGAATTTTGACATTTTTAACCCAGGGTGGTGGTTATTTTAGACAGTGATACAGTGGTTATGGTAGTCTAATTTGGTCTCTAACTTTAACCTAAGAAGGCTACTCTACCATTTTTTTTGGTGTTTATCCATCCTGTAGTTTATTATTTACTTTTTTTTAATTATTATTTGCAACTTTTTTTTTTGGATTTTCAAATGCAATGAGATGAACGAACAGTAGATCTGCCACTCGTGTGGGATGTGAAAGCAGAAATAAAGTAGTAAAGTAGTGAAACGTATCTATGGTAGAGTAGTTAAACATGTCCCAGTGAGGAGAGTGCAGGAATGGCTAACAGCATTGTCAAAAAATGGATGCCATGGTTAGTTGGCCCACTCCTCCCTCCCTTTATTGACGTTTGTGTCAGAATTGTACCCATGGGGACCATGCATAGAGATGTGGGATATTTTAGGGATTTGCCAATAACTTCTAGTTAGTAAACAGTCTTTACTGGTAACATTAACATTTTACAGTGCATAAAAGGTCTTTTTTTTCCACTAAATTGATATTTTTAAGATATATAATTCAATGTTTTTGCTACTGAAACTTCAATATTTATACTTGAGCAAATAAAAGCTATGTTTTAATACAAACAAAAATGTTGTGTAAGGCCTGAGAGTGCTATCTATCTGCTGGAGAATTGTATTTTATTTGTTTTGTTTAATTTAATTTTTTTCAATATTTTCTTGACTCTCTTAATACAATGTGTTCCTCTGCATCAGAACATCTACCACTTGAGCTAGGTGTATCTTCCTGGAACACCCAAGTGTACTATTTTCTGGGACACTTTTATTGTCTTGTTAGAATGGACTTTTAAATGTAATCATACCATATTTGCCATCAAGTTCCTTGCTCTCAATCTGCTGGAGGCTGTATGGCCAGATTTACACATGTATTTCCTTTCCTACCTTTCAATCAACTGTCAAGCAAAATGAGCTAGAGACGTATGTGTGGTGGACCACCTGGCACCCCAACTGGGTACCTCCGCCTAGTGCTGGGTACCCTTCCTAGTGCTCACCGAGTACCATAAGCACCGCACCGGACACCATAACCACTGTAGCCCCTTTGCCACCGCAGCTTGGCTGGGGTCTCGCCGTCCCTTCCCACCGTGGACCAAACACCTGGATCCAGCTCCCAGTGGGAAGACCTCTCCTCTAAGAGAGTATCGCTGTATAGCCAGTAAAAGAGCAAGTGATATAGCAGTATAGCTATTCCCCCCCACACACACACACACACATGAGCCTAGGCTTAATGCTGGGAGTCATCTGGTTTATTCGGGGCCACACACGGTCATTTTTGCAATAACCCATGCAGGGGGTTTCCAATACAAGAATATAGGGAAATCCCTCTCATGATCCTTTGTGTCCGAGAGATAATTATCAGAGAAGCAAACCTATAATTAAATTATTTCTCAGGTACAAAAAAAACATACAATTTACAAACATTCCAAAAGTACCCCCAAAATCCATAGAAACCCCACAAAACTTACATTCTTGGATAGCACTGATCTGGGTGACCTACATATACAAAAATCACCCAGATTGCTTCATTGGTTCGTTTTTTTTCCCTGGAAGTCAATTATTTGACTGACCGCACACATGGTCCTATCCCCAAAACAGTTCCATTAAATCAGTGCTAACGGTCGGTCTCTTTCGGGAGTATAAAAGTGAATAAAATACCGAATGGAATCCATAGTTAACGTGTAGTTTGTTCGTGTGAGTGATTCAAGCGAACAGTACCCTTCTAAATTGTATAGAACCGAACGCAGGCGATGATGGAAGTCCAGCGGTGTTCGGGAGTTTTAGTGTCCGGTTTCCGTTCCATGAGCTTGACGTTCAAACACCGCTGCCTGCGTTCGCGGAACAAGATGGCCGCCACCTCGTGGTCATTCATACAAAATGCGGCCACCCAGACGAACGATTAGAACACTGCAGTGGAACTCATTATAAGGTGTCAATTGGGCTTAACAAGCACACGGGTGGTCTCTGTTTCATGCGGTTGTTCTGTTCCCGAACAATATAATCCCAAACCACACGAACAGAGCCTTTTAAAAGTGTATTTTACAGTGTATCTTGCCCATAGTCATGAGGTTATGTTCGCCACAGTACGTAAACAATTCTTGGCAGCTTATGCGCAGCACTTTTCATTAGGGTATGAACATAAAGGTAATTTAAATTTAGTTCTAAAACAAGCTGTTTTACTTATTTTTAAATTATTTGCAGTCTTGATTAATACAAAGGTAAAATGCCACTCTAAGTACCATTATATTGTTGTGTTATTGCAAAGTTGATGTTGCAGAAGGTATTCTGCACCAACTCTGTGTTAATCCATATTAACAGAAAATTGCAAGAAATGCCATAAATAAGGGGTAGGGAGAAGAAAATCACTCAGCATTAGTTGGTATGCCTGGGCACATTTCTTGTGAATTCCTATGGTTATATAGATGTACTCCCTTCCATGGAAATGTGTAGTAGAAATGAATTATTACCACTGAGTTTTTGAAACTTGCACAGCTTCAGTTAATGTGGTATAAATTCTTTATTGGAACACCTCTGTTACTAGCCAGACCACCAAGTCCATTGTGAAAATGGTTTGCAGCATTTAAGTGCCAGATTTACCTTTCCTTCTTTCCCGGATTGTGAGTATGGGCTGATGGTGAGTGATTAGCTGTAATGAATAACATGACACCAGAGGTAACAAAGGGGCTGGTAACTGTAATGGATAGCAATTGAACTCTAATAGTAACACCAATGTGCAAGATGTAGCATTAAACATAGAATGCAAAACATTTAAAATAACCTGTTGCTGCTGTAAAAGACCTTTTGGAGTCTTTAATGTCTATGGAGGATTCCACAAGATATATATATATATATATATATATATATATATATATCTATTAGTGATGACCAAGATACTGGCCTTCTTACCAGAGGGAAGTGACAAAACTTGATGGTGGTAACTTTGCCTTTATCAAGGAAGGATTTTACCAGAACACAAATTTGTACCTAAGATTTTATTTGGATGAAATGCTCTTTTTTTCCCTTTTTTTTGTGGCGAAAAAGACTCTTTAAGGGATACTGTAGGCACTATAACAATTGAATCTCATTAAATTGAATTTTCAATCATCTTTTTTTTTTAAGCTCTGCGTGAAGATTCTGAACTTTCATGCATCTCTAGGAGGAGATGCTGATTGGCCAGGGTGGCATTTTGCTCCACCCCTATCCTGCACTCCTTGGCTAAGATCATCAGAATTGACAATCTCAGACAATCCAATTCTTTCCCATTGGAATGCATTATGATTGGCTGAGAACATTACTTCTGATTATTTAAGCCACAGAGCAGATCGGAAGTGGAGCCAGCATCGGCAGACTGGAATAAAGGTAAGGTTTCATTATATTTAGGGGGGCTAGCTAGGGTCAGGAATATATGTTTTGTTCCTTTAACTGACAATGATCTGTACTTACCATTTTCATACAAAGTAGCAATCTAAGCACCAAAACGAATAAAGCTCTTTTGTAGTGGTTAGGATGAAATACTTAAATTGCCAGCTACCCATTTAGGGCTCACTTCGAGTCTTGGTGATTTTTTTGATTGGTACATGCATATGCATATATATATATATTTATATCCTACATAGGAAATTACATGTACAACAGATCACTAATGCCGTAATAACTACGGGGGGCTTTTGGCACATTGCTTGCAGGTGCCTACTCTGCTGCTGTCACGTGCCAATGGACCTGCTGGGATTTCTTTGCAATGATTTCCCAATTCCCTTGTGTGCACTGTAATGATGCTGGGAGCCAGGAAGTGATATCTCCCCAGTCCTGGCATCCGTATTGAACTGCAGGAAGCTGGGTAATCAATGTAGAGATATCCCAGCAGCTCCCCCCACTGGACCTCGGGATGAGGTTCTACTCCAGCTCCCTTTTAACCCCTTAAGGACACGTGACGTCATGATTCCCTTTTATTCCAGAAGTTTGTTCCTTAAGGGGTTAAAATCAAATAGGTAAAAAACAAAACATAAACAAATGAAGAGTAAGTTTGTGTGTGTATAACAGGCTCTATGTGGGCCTCACTGCATTAGCAAAATAAAGAAAATTAAAGGAACACTATACGGTCAGGAACACAAACATGTGTTCCTGACCCTATAGTGTTAACACCACCATCTAGCCCACCTGGGCCCCTCATGCCTCCATAAATATAGTAAAAATCTTACTGTATTCAAGCAAGAAGCTGTAACTCTGCATGCTGTCTGCCTAAAAAAAAACAGTCTGCTGACATCATCAGAAGTGGTAGCCTGATCCAATCACAATGCTTCCCCATAGGATTGGCTGAGACTGACAAGGAGGCAGATCAGGGGCAGAGCCAGCATGATTCAAACACAGCCCTGGCCAATCAGTATCTCCTTAGAGAGATGAATTGAATCTATACAACTATAAATACTTCAAAATTCTGTGTCACTACAATATTGCACTATGTCAGCTTTATTGTTACAGATTTACATATTGAAATATATTGCTTAAAACTGAACATTGTGTTAACCGATAGGGGTAACTTTAAAAAAATCTTGTGCTCCATTAGCACACCAGTGGTGGGAAATATATAGTCTTCACTTCTGTGTGCATCTCCATGCAGAGTGTGAGGACGCTGAATGGTAGGGCTGCTTTTTCGGCAGCACTGCCCCAGGAAGCCCCTCCAATGGCCATCTAAGGAGTGGCCACTTGGAGGTGTCCCAAGGGGCAATGTAAACACTGCCTTTTCTCTGAAAATACAGTATTTACATGAAAATGCCTGAAGGGAATTATTATACTCAACAGAACAACTACATTAATCTGTAGTTGTTCTGGTGACTATAGTGTCCCTTTAATTTTTTTTAAAAATTGACATTAGCCAGACCAGAACTCGAGACCATAACACCCCAGGGTCCTTGCTGACACCTCTCTGAAGTGACTCCCTGAAGTGGTCATGGTGCTTAGACTTTGATGCACCATTTTGGCAGTTAATTATACAGTATAGTGGGGTGAAGAGTTAAAGGATCACTATAGGGTCAGGAACACAAACATGTATTCCTGACCCTATAGTGTCAACACCACCATCTATCCCCCCTGGGCCCCTCATGCCTCCATAAATATAGTAAAAATCTTACTCTATTAAAGCCTGAAGCTGTAAATCTGCATGCTGTTAGACTCAGAAAAACAAGCAGTCTGCTGACATGTGGTAGTCTGATCCAATCACAGTGCTTCCCCATAGGATTGGCTGAGACTGACAAAGAGGCAGATCGGGGCAGAGCCAGTATGATTCAAACACAGCCCTGGCCAATCAGCATCTCCTCATAGAGATGAATTGAATCAATGAATCTCTATGAGGAAAGTTCAGTGTCTGCATGCAGAGGGAAGAGACACTGAATCACAGGATGCTGTGCACAGTGCTGCCCTGTGCTCTGCTAACAGCAGATCTGAGTGAAGTCCCTCTGGTTCACTCTGAGGTGACTATGGTGTCCCTTTAATACAGCATAGCTTGAGGATAATACAGCAGGTGTGGAGGTATACATATAGATTTATGTCATACTCTGAATTTAAACAAATCTTTGG